TCCTTCCAACTAAGCATATAAGTGATAATTCACTCATGATAATTAGCTTAATAGATGTACAATCAATACTAATTGGAAAAACCGTATTTATACTGGCAGCTCTCCATGTACAGTACAAGCTATATAAGTAATATCTTAATTGAGATGTTTTAAGTAAGTATTTGTATATAGAATGTATTCAAGAATTAAAGTGTACATATTATTACCCATCGTAAATTAAGAGATATATCTGATTAGTTGCAAAAACTTATGTTGGCTCTTATAATTATGGCGAAGTATCAAACTTCACCCTATAGGCAGCGTATGGTTGAAAACATACTAGACTGCAGACGAGTTTAAAGTGATGTCATTTGACCTTCCAATTGATGACTGTTCTCTATTAAAATATTAATTTATAAACCCAAATATGCAGCAAAATGCAAATGTTTAAAGTTTTCGCATTAAAAGTACGAAGATATAATTCATAGTATTAAATATTTACATGAGTATGGAGCAAAAGCTACGTATGTACAATCCAACAGTAATAAGAATAAGTCTGTACACGCTCGATTCTTTACAGCTCATATGAATTCAATGAATTTACATTTAATCAGCCTTGAAGATAAAAGTAGCAGAAAAACTTTGCTTGTTTTGCAAAATGAAGAATTCATTTTATCAATTTAATTGCTCAACAGCGGCCGCATATACGATAGGAAAATCCAAGTAAGTACATGACTAATCCGGCCAGTCCTGACATCTGTGTTAAGTATTAATGAACATCTAGAGAATCATCGTTTGTTTATGCAATAATGAGCATCGATTTTTTTGTAATTGCACATATTTTTATATGGTTTTAATTTTATCCTAGTACATGCAACCACCCGTGTCAATATCGTTCACGATTTTCTCCTAGCAACAGTGTCTCGAGCCTGATCCAAGTTCTCTTAACTGGAATTCACAAATGCCTCAACAATCAGTTGACCTTTCAATAAATATCTTTTTAGTGAACGCGCCACGGATTTTATGCAAATCAACTTTGTAATTCTCAAAATTTTGCTTTCGAAATATTCTACAGAATTGTTTGTTTAGAGCATTCATCCATTCAGTTTACAGAAACGAGATCAGAGGTGATCGTTTTAATTAATTACTTGTTTTATGAAAGGATTTATCAATGAAAACATTAATAAAATGTATATTTGCTGCTTTTTGGAATTTTGTCCACACTTCAAATTTGTGATTATTGTATTGACTTTTCCCTTTTCTGTTCAGTTTTGACATTGCTGTGGTAGTTTTAACAGAGATGGTAGTATTGTTTCAAATGCTTTCCATGTCAACAACCCTTACGTCTTTCTCCTGTCAACTGGCAAAAACACTTAAATGAAACTAGGCCAAATCTATCATTTCCAAGATGAGAGCACCCAATCCTTGTTATTTAAAATTTATCGTGCTCGTTGCATCATAATATGAAATGAGAATGTAATAATCTAATCATGAGTTGTTTGTAGCGAGCTAGCAACAGTCAATAGAATGGTGGCGGTGACATTAAAAAAAATCACCAACTTTCACCATTCATAATACGTAACCCAGCAGCCTCAATGTAAAAGCAAGAACCATATTTCCTGTTTGAAAGAATCGCAATTATTCTCAATAACAATTTCCCGTGGTCCGCTCCAAAACAATTGCCTTTTTTAAAATTTTCTGACGGAAACCAATGGTTTTACATTGCACGTACATACACTCTGTGTTAGTTGGTTGCCTTGACAGCGATGGACGGATGTGCAAGTTTTCCTTTCTTTATCCTGGAAGGTTACCAAGAAATATGGTGCTGTAACAACTATTACTACCTGTAATACCAATCAGACATATTAATTGATCGTTAACTTACAATACGAAGCTGTGCATTTACTACTTTGCTAAATAACATTATCGTAAAATTCATTTTTGCCTTTCGCCACAGATTTAACATCTTTGGTAAATTAAAGCTTCAAGTATCAAGCAGTCGTAAAACTGCGTAATAAACCGTAATGCTGGAACAGTTTTTATCTAAAAAACATGGGGAATTACAGCTATTATTATTATTATTATGATCAGAAGGGGTAATAAAGCCACAGAAGAATCTCCAGGTTGAAAATAATCGAGTACAACAAACTCTTGTATTCGACCTTGGCAGGCGACTGCATTATCCCGTCTTATAACTGGACGTAGGTAACCACCAACATTATCTAATTTGAAGCTGTGATTTATAATGTTTATTTGGCTACTCGTCTACATGTTCAAGAAAGTCGGCATTGGATCCTTAAGTACCTAACCTGTTGAAAATGATAAACAAACAAAAGTAAGCAATTTACAAATCAAAGCTTCCAGTCAAATCCAATAAACGCTCTGCCTTTACTTGCGTCAATAGTCTTGAGATGATTCTCAGAATTACGAATGTTTCGTGCTGTAGTAGCTGTAATTTAACTTCGTCCTTCAACTACAAGACTCAGATCCTGCAAATATGAAGACTTGGTAAACCAGTCATAAACACATTTGTATGTAGTTAAAATTTACTTATAGGCTCACTCAAAGTGAAAATACGACAGTTTCTATAAACAGATTTTCATGAGTTTATCCACAAAAATGTTTTCCTTTTTTATTTTAGTGTGTGTGCTAGTAAAAATAAAACAAAGAGAAAATAGTAACAAGATTAAGGAGATATCCGTGTCAATCAAGACGGATGATGACCGAAGTGAAAGACGGATATCATGTGAAACACTTTGTTGGTTGATGTGGTAAAATTGAAATATAAAGACCGTGATACGTTGTTAGTTTGAAGTTTTTCCGCCACTAGTATATTTGTCAGTCGAAGAAAATTTTTCTGTAAAAATTGACTCAAGTTTTAAGTCCTCTTTTTTTTAATTTGTATTAATATCACTATGTATAGTACGTGTCATAAACTAATGTTTCGAAAAGCTAATAAACTAATTGTCCAAGTTATTCAAATAAAAACAGGCTATATCCTGTAATTGAATGATAATATCTTGAAATTGTTTAACGGCATGATTTTAAACAAATTGATCGACAGACAGCGGAAGTGGAAGGTAAGCGGGTGGAGTTTGTATGGTAGTTGTTCTATGCAGTGAGAAACGAGCTTTTATTCGAATTGTCTTGTAAATACCACTCATACAAATGAAATTTGTCATGAGGTCATCTATTACACGTGGGCCGAGATGATGATAAACTCATTCAACCCAGTTGTTATATAATCGAAAAGTCAGGAATTAGATTATCTCATCAGGACATGAATGAATTTGACGATAAGCCAACATAAAAAATATTTAATTGCATATATTTTATATTTGCGACCGGATGCCGTACAATTTAAACAAAACTAACTTAAATGTATGAATGGTTTTAAGTTCGGTGATTTCAAACCACACTAGTTTTCGGTAATTGAGCTTAATCATATTTTTTTAATGATTATGGACCATTTACATTTTTTAATGGCATGAAATACTAGTAATAACGCTTTCTAAAACAATACACGCAGTAACATCCAGTGTTTATGATTAAATAATGTTTCTGCGTCAGTGTATTAAAATTAGACTAAAGGCAAAAATACCCCAACTAGTGAAGGCAAAATAACCTATTGAATTAATCGCTAATTCGACCAGATTTAGAGGTATGTAACCAAATAACTTTCAAATAAACAACAAGTTTTGTTTCATTTTAGTGAAAAATGATCTAGTAGAGTTAAAGTTTTGTGATGTTGTGTTTTGTAGGTTAAGAACTTGGATGTTTTTGTTTTCATTTACGAACCTTACAACAACATTGACACATCGTAGGCATTTAATGTAAGTTTGAAATGTTATCAGTACCAATATTGATGCATTTTCTCTAATTATGTCAACGATTAAGTAAACAACTTCTAAGAAAATACAATCTGGACTGCCTGGATTAAGAGTGTATAATATGTAGTGTAATATATAAAACACAAAATTGTTACACAACAGATAACCTTGGCATTGACGTGTAACCATAAATTAAGAAAAAAAATCGTTTTCGGATATCACAATTGCATCCCATATGATAAACAATCCTACCTTACATAATCTTAACATTTAGAGTTTTTTATTCAGCACGAAAAATAAACAAATCATGTATTACATTTGAGAAACCAATTCCATACTCCCAGCAATATGCATTAATTTTTGAAGTTATCGAAGTCGTTTAGACAAAACCAAGTCAACAATTTCAAAATTACATGATTGAAGTGCTGTGTGTGTAAATTTAATCACTTCAGATGCCAGTATGTCAACACAATCACCACCTTCGCATGTTTACTACGAAAATAATTTACAGGGGTAAAAGTAGAAGTAGTGTTTTCTAGTGCTAATTGTTCAAACTGGCTGACAATATTTGGCTAGTTAAATATTGATTTTGCAAATTTGTAGTGTAAAACGTGAACATCTTTTCGGTAATTCCGAGGCTTGATCCGGAATGAAACCGACTATATTATTTTAAGCTAAAAGAAAACCTAATGTTTTGAAATATAAGAACTAAAATTCAAATATGCTAATAAATACTTCCCGTAATGTTATCACGCTTTTGAATTTGGTTGACTACATTATTACAGTTTAATAATAGAGACGTTTTAATTTTTTTATTATTTTATATTAAGTATAATATTATAGCAACTAATTAAAAACTACTATAATGTAGAACATAAATCTTAAGTTCTCAGGAGCACAATGCTAGTTCGCATGCTCTGCTGTTAGGGAGCCCTTTGATAAGATCAGTTCTGTGCCAGAACATTAAAAGTCTCAATTTAATTTTTCGTTTTTCGCTTTTCTTTGTGAAGAGTCCTGCTTTTTTCTACTAACAATTTTTCATCCTGGTAATTTGCTTTTCCTGCAATATGTCACGCTATACACACGATTCTTTTGCTTAGCATTTCCTAATAAGAGAATTCTTGTGGTTTAAGTTACACTTAGGTTCAATTTTTATTCTTATTATATTCCTTTATCTTATTCTTTTTTTAGCCCAATGTATAAGGCCTAAGGACGTGATCCCCTCCAGCTTGAAGTTGCCTGTGCATATCGCGAATTTTTAAAATATCTGTGATCTGTAATGGTGCATTATAGCGATATTAAATGGTGTTAGTGTTTGGTAAAAGTGCATCATCGTGGTGTGTTTCTTAGCGGTAAAAGTGCTAGTCGACGTTCAGGAATGGTGGCAGGCCAGAACGTGGACACTCAACAGAATGCCGACATGTATTGTGCCCTTTATGGAGAATACTACCCTGATAATCAGTACTTCATTCAAGGGGCGCCACCAGAGATGTGCCCTGCACACGTCTGCGCTATGCAAAGCGAATTTGGTGAGGCCCATTCATTCCAATGCTGCTATGTTCTTTGAAAACACTTTTTGCTAATTTCAGTAAACACAAACAGAGTTGAGCTTCAGACTCTGTAGTTACCTTACAACGAATGGTGATGCACACACCTTTGACGATTTCACATTGTCCGCTCAGATTTCTCTTTGTTCTTTAAAATTCCAGTTTTCAATCAACTCTTACCAGTATTTTAAACAAATTTACCCGTTAGGCTGAACTGTTTTTTATTACTAAATGCACTGCTGGATTTTTAATTAATACGCTTCTAGCATGTTTTCATTTTTTCACTGATTGCATTTTACGATATCGTAACTGTTAAAAGTACGTAATTGGCGTCTGAACTATTGTGGTAAAGCAAATTTGGACTGATATCTCGTTACCTATTTGGTGCATATGCAGGTTAAGTAGGACAGTATGATCGAAAAAGTCCTCTAGTAGGCCAATTTAATTTTAAAATAATGATGTTGGCAACACTTGCGCGTTCTTTGCTTAATTTGACGGTTACGGTCAAATAAAGTGTCATTATTTTAAAAATAAATTTCATGAGCCACTACAGGATTTTTTTTCGATCATATTTATGGTACTTTGAAGTTTATTATTTATACTTTATATTGGTTATTGATTTTATAGTTTTGTTGACATATAAAGTAATTTCACAAATTGATCAAAGAATAATTTGCTGTTTTGAACATTTAATTACGAAGTAGTTTTTTTTCTAGATTAATTGAAACTGTAAATTGTAAATTTGCATCGCCCACCCCGTCGAGTTTATTATAACAAGTAAATGAAACTGACTTCCATAAGCAATAAAACTTTTATGTTATGAATTATACATAAGTCGTTACTTTTTTGATATCTGTTAATAATTTCACACTTCATGAATTTTGCTTCTATACATCTGATAACAGTTGACATTGTTGGCATAAAAAATGGTATTACGTCAATGGGCAGCATTGTACAGATGCAACAGTGCATCACTTTCAAAATAATACTGTAGAAAGTGATTTTTTAGTAAAAGTTTTTAAATTCACCAAAATTCCAAACTTTGCATAAATTTAGAGCGGATAAGTTTGTGGATGCATCACAGTTCTGTAAGCAATTTTAAATATTTATCCTTCAAACTGGCCTGTAACCTATGCAAAGAAATAACGTCTGTTGCTTAATGGTAGACGCAGTTTATAATGTTGTTTCAAAAAGTTCATTTACTTCAACAGTAAAGTTCACGAACCGCCATAAAAATTAAAAAGATAATGCTTTTTTCACAAGAACTTTAAATGTGAACAGAACACCATTTCACACCGAGTTTCGAATTTTGATGCAAATAACTGGGAACTTCAAAATTTTCTTTGCTGTACTATTTTGTATGTAAGTAGTTCAAAACCCAATTCTGTAAATATATCAAACAAACGCTGAAAAGCTCTAATAAACCAGCCATGAATGTTTAAAATTGACGAGAAGTCACTTTCGTTTGGCGTGAGATATTGTTTATCTCTCAATGTACTTTTCTAGTTACACATACGCAAAAAATAAACGCGAGGAAATAAATGCCTTTCGTAAAAGTGCGAGAGCAAAATATGTAGATTCGATACGATATTTATTAATATTTTCACATTTTTAATAATAAATTGTCGTGTATAGATGGCCTTTATACACCTAATGTTTACGTCTTTTTATTAAGTTGTGAAATGGCTTGATCAGCACAAAACTTTTACAAGTTTTGCAGAATTATAATGTGGACCAGATTAAAAGTTCAAGCTGTTTACGCAGTAAAATTAATAAACGTATGTCAGCAAAATAAATTGAAACCTGCATGGATGAAAATTTCGGTTTAATGGCTCTGTGCATTGATTATATATCCCCCATCGTAAAACTTTAATACAAACTTAAGTAAACTGTATCACATCAAAGGGCTCTTAGCTTAACGAGGGATTGTTTGCACAAGAATATGGGGCAAATACACAAATATGTAAATATCCACATTGTTTGTTGGAAACATGTATGTATAATCAAACCACTTATAGCGAGAAAATTAAATACACATGTTGTATGGAGACGTCTGATATGATAAGGTCAGTTACCTATAGCTACACTGATAACATCTTTTGTCGCCAAAAAGCAACAAGGTATGTTATTGATTTTTGATGTTCTTGTGTCGTAATCATTATAAAATGAGCTATTTCTTAGAAGCTATTTGTGGCTAATTAGTTACGACTGAAATGAAGTAACTAATTCGTTAAATGGTAGTGTTTTGTTTTGAAATCCAATCGTACTGTACATAGATAGATAGTCATTAAAATTAAACCAAGATTTTTATTTTATTTTCCTCGAACTGTCTTAACTTCAAAGACCAGAAAAATACAAAAACCACTGCAAAAAACTAATTATTCCCATACATTAAAAAAAACAAATTCTCGAAAGCATTAGATATAAATAGATCTGTTAAAAGGTAAATGTGAAAACCCACTAAAGCAATGAACTGGTTTGATCTTTCTAAAACCAAATCAGTCGAACCACATATACCTGAGTCTGCAACCGTCTTCTAGAAAATAATAAGCCTAATTCTTGACGATCAAGTTTTGCACCAGCGTGATAAACATAATCTTGTACCCCAACGAAAACATGTTATAGGAAGGCTTTGGAATTTTATTTTTCAGAAATGAAAGTCGTTATGAGAAGGTCAAACGGTAGCCTATACCTATACCAACAACTAGAGGACATTGGCATCGTCAAGGACGTCTTTGGTCCCGGTGACTGGTTAGTCTGCGCGCATCATGTATTGCAACCTGTCCACGAATACGCTGCTATACCCACCTTTCCTGTGTTAAAATCAAATTTAGTTTGAATAATAGAGCCGTTTTTGTGATACGGTTTAATCGTTGGCGACGTTCTGCAATATTTTCGTTTTCGTTTTGAAAGTTTTGTAAAGGAGATGCGAATGACATGTATATATCAAAGTTGCAAATATTTCTTTTGTTACCAACCTTGAAATTTTTTCCACCGTATGTAGCACTGACAGTCCTGCACCCAAAGTCATTGTTGCTATGAAGTAGTCGTAGTTCTGTCCGCAACTTTGAAACATGAAAAAGCTTATGAACTCTATGGTCATTGTTTTGTCGGCTTTATCAGAAGATAAAGAGTCTTTAGGAGTGTCGATTTTGATGAACAGAATTTAATTAAACTTTTTATGACTTTCATATTCTGAGGTATGAAAATTTTAAATTACTTTTGTCATAGCACAAGCGAGGATACAAACTTGTAACCTTTTTGAAGGAATTGGATGTCACAACATAGGTCTTAGAGAAACTACCACATATTAACATGCTAAGAATTCTAAGCTCGGACATTTTATTATAGAAAGCGATTAATAAAAAGAGGAATCAAACGTAAAAAACGTAGAGTTGAATGAACTGTATTGCAATTCCAGGTAGTAGTTACAGTTATAAAAAATTAGTATTTCTAATAAAGCTATGTAATAGCTGGAGAGGTTAAAATGTGTAATAAATAACCACATAAATAGTCTTTCTTTTAATACTTCGACCGATAGCCAAAGGAAGTACATACTTCAAAATTTTCTTTGCTGTACTATTTTGTATGTAAGTAGTTCAAAACCCAATTCTGTAAATATATCAAACAAACGCTGAAAAAAATGCGGTTATTCTGACGAATTTATATTATTGATGTTGCACAAGTTGTAGAATGCGAAAATGCGGATTTCCTATTTCCGCCTGTTGTTGGAGGTTTTACTATACAAAACGTCTTCGAATTACTGAATTGATAATAAAACTAACTAATTTAAGCTTACCTCAGAGATTACACAATACCATTAATTAATTAACCACAAATTCTGGGAACATACACATTAGTATCGTAATTAATTTCACCTAACAGATTTGTACCATCATGGGCAATACCTAAATGTCCTTAACAATTCATTTGATTCACGCCCTTTAATTGTTATAATTTGTCACATGTACTGAGGTATTTGAATGCATGCAAATAGCAGAATTCAGTAGATACATCTAAATAATTGTATTAGTATGTATTACGATATAAAGGTACAGACTTGCATATTAAGTGAAAGTAGATTGCATTAAAATATTCTTCTTCCTACTTTGATAAATTATAATTAAGGTGATAGCAGAACCACCCGTACATAATAGTAGGTAATTTTATTAATTTAATAATATTTTATTGTTTACAGAATAATCTAAGGACCACGGGAAAATGTAGACGCTTATATATGTTATACAGGGTGTCCCAGAATTCGCGCCATTCCCGTGAATGACATGTTCCCTGTCCCGAACTGTGCCGTAATTCGCAAAAAGAATTGTCCAGGCTTTAACCGTGTGAGAACTGTTAGGCGATTAAGTTGACCAATAGAGAGGCTGCTTTTATATCCGAACGTTTCTATGTTCAAAGTTACCTATGCCAAGAACAAAAAATCCGGTAATACTAAAGTTGAATGAATTTTTGCCGAATCCCCCTCCGTCAACAAAAGGAAACAGAAGTGTGGTTATAAATTTAATCATTTTGACAATTGTTTGTCATAAACTGTCACGAAGTTCATCACTGACCTGAACAGACGCTTCTGCCCCCAAAGATGACTGATTAATGTACACAGAGACGTCAAGGTTTACTTTAAGGCAATTAGCATGGGACAGAAATTATTTCTGCTGCCATTCTAGTTAAATTGTGTTTAACTGAGCTGTACATGTCATAAGAGAAGCTGTTTCATTTCATCGTAGGCAAATAATACATTTATTACCATTCTACATAGTGTAGATACCGAAGAGCAGGTATTAGAAGTCATTTTCTTAGAGCCCCGTGAATAATGTGTTGTTCTTTTTAACGAAAAGTAGTGCATTTTCAGAATTCACTATGCATCATATCCCTGATATTAAGTTTATCGTTATTTCTAAAAAAGAGTACCACATGTTCATTCAAAGAACGTTATTAAGTGTACTAAAACATAAATATCGCTTTTGATTAATCGGTGCTTATGATTTTCAATAAACAGTATCAATTTTACCGAACAGCTTTGTTGCTGATACCTAATCTAATAAGCAACGAAAAAAGAGACGAGACTCCACTTCTCTAGTGTATTGAAATCATAGGTATCTGCTGTGGTGCATGATCGATCTTGAGCATCCATTCATTTGTGCCACTTGTTCTTCACCGTCTACGCGTATAATCCGTGTAGCCCCAGGAAGGCCTTTCCGAATAGGCTAAAAAGATCCATCTTCTTTTGCTGGATGCAACAAACGACGAAACACATGCTGGTCAAGGAGCCGATGGTTGGGGAAAAGACCTGTACATTCGCGCACAGCAGTGGCTGCAGAGCGTTTACATTCTCCATAAATTAACATCATTTCCAAATATTCTTTATACTAGTATGAATAAGACATCAGTGACTTAGTGGTATTGGTACTGATTTGTTTATAGTTTGTATTGTCCTTAAATAAAAAAAAATGCAACTAAACAATTTTTGTCACATTTTTTATTCGGATCTTTTCAATCTCTAGAAAGTACTCACAACTTTAAAGAAACTGTTTTAAATGATCATGTGCAACATCAATATTATTCTTGAATAAGTCTCCGTTTTCAGTATCTCCCCCACATGATTGACACCACAGCAGATACCTATGATTTCAATATACCAGAGAAGTGGAGTCTCGTCTCTTTTTTCGTTGCTTAGATTAGGTATCAGCAACAAAGCTGTTCGGTAAAAATTGATACTGTTTATTGAAAATCATAAGCACCGATTAATCAAAAGCGATATTTATGTTTTAGTACACTTAATAACGTTCTTTGAATGAACATGTGGTACTCTTTTTTAGAAATAACGATAAACTTAATATCAGGGATATGATGCATAGTGAATTCTGAAAATGCACTACTTTTCGTTAAAAAGAACAACACATTATTCACGGGGCTCTAAGAAAATGACTTCTAATACCTGCTCTTCGGTATCTACACTATGTCGAATAGTAATAAATTATTATTTGCCTGCGATGAAATGAAACAGCTTCTTTTATGACATGTACAGCCCAGTTAAACACAATTTAACTAGAATGGCAGCAGAAATAACTTCTGTCCCATGCTACTTGCCTTAAAGTAAACCTTGACGTCTCTGTGTACATTAATCAGTCATCTTTGGGGGCAGAAGCGTCTGTTCAGGTCAGTGATGAACTTCGTGACAGTTTATGACAAACAATTGTCAAAATGATTAAATTTATAACCACACTTCTGTTTCCTTTTGTTGACGGAGGGGGATTCGGAAAAAATTCATTCAACTTTAGTATTACCGGATTTTTTGTCCTTGGCATAGGTAACTTTGAACCCAGAAACGTTCGGATATAAAAGCAGCCTCTCTATTGGTCAACTTAATCGCCTTCCAGTTCTCACACGGTTAAAGCCTGGACAATTCTTTTTGCGAATTACGGCACAGTTCGGGACAGGGAACATGTCATTCACGGGAATGGCGCGAATTCTGGGACACCCTGTATAGTATATTATATAGTTACGTAGATGACTTAAAATACAGTAGAACAAGCAAATACATAATTTGTTTAGATGAAAATTTCCGTCGTAGTACTTAATACAATTTAAATTTTAAGTATTGTCAATTTCATTTTGGAGTGTTACTAACATTAACTACAATAATATAGTTCTTTTTTTGCTAGGTTAAGGTCAGAGTACAGTCCGGAATACTTGAATATGTGATTATTTTATTCATATAATGACAAACCTTTCAGAATCCGCGTGAATTGAATTGAAGTAATTAAGGGCTAATTCGTGTTTGTATATTTTACCATTTTTGACGAATTTTGGTTGTATTTGTTCCTAAAATAATGAAGACATATTTTGGAGGAAAGTGGCTGAGTGGAAATTTTTAAAATTGGTTTGCTTAAAAGTGCATGTGGTTAGTGCTTTAAACCATGCATCAAATACATCCGTTGACTTGCATTCTAAAAATAAAATTGTTACAGTATTCTATTTTATATATTACATAATTATTAATACATTTAAATTTTAAGATTTAATTGAAATAATTAGTTGCCCCACTGCACGAGTACGTTAATGTTAAATTACCCCATACATTTTATAGCAAATAGTATTCAGTATTTATTTGAATTGATTTTAAACAAACTACAGTCATAGATAAAATAGTGTACATTAGATGTGGAAAAACACTACTACATTCTCGTATTGTTACACAACTCAACTAGCTCTTCGTTGTAAACAATGATGTTTTTATCCCACTTGTAACATAAATGGCGCATTTTAATATTCAACTTCAGAGAAAAAAATTAATTACATTGTTAGGAATTAATATTGTTAATATTATAGTAATATTTACAGTATGATATACCATCACCACTGTAGTTACGTGTACAGAAGGTTGTAATCATAAGATCTCCCATGTCTGCTTCATAACCCTAAGTGTTTTACAACTGCTTTGGAAATTGGAACAAACCGCTTTATGAAATTCGGGCTGTTAAGACGTAGGCACCTTAGGAACAGGCTTAAAACTGTAATCTCACACAAAAAATCACCGGAGACACGCAATGCATTGTAACATGTTATTATATAGGCACCACAATTCAAAAACATATCATCGAAAATGGAGTAATCTGTGTGTATTAAAAAAAATTTTTAAGAAAAACAATTTGGGGTTTTTCCGTCCAGCCGATTACGTAAAAATTGAGCTAAACGGAAGTTTTGACGGACTTTGTCTACATAAATAATCGTGATAATGAATTTTTATTACGAAAACACAATAATGGATATATGACAAGGCTAACTGATTGATACACAGACCGGCAGTTGCTTTCTTAAGAATTACCAAACTTACGGCTAAATTTTTATGTATTATCCAAGCATGATTGAATGAAGTTGATGGGTTGGATCGATTTTTTTTTTTTTTTTTTTTAATAAATATTAAAGTCTTCACGTCTTCCGTTTGATGTGTAAGTTTAGTGTTATCCACTCTTAAAGTTTTAGACAAACTGTATATTTGATTATATCACAGCTTCCATTTATAATAATTTAAAACCGTTCTGTTCATTGCTGCTATTTGTTAGCATTAGATTTTTTTACTCGAATATATTTTTGTGTCTTTCGGGTTATCGGTAGTTGCTTAACATACAAGCAAAGAAGTAGCTATCCTTACTAGATCGTTTTTCGTTGTTAATGTTATATTTATTGTCTATGTATCCAAACAACACACATTCTTTTTGTAAAATTGTACGCATACGTTTATTATATAACTGTTTGGATAAATCAACTTCTATTCTTCTAGTTAAACAAAGAAAACAACTTTACGACATTTTTATTATCGGTCTTGGGATTAAAACAATTTTATGTGATTTGCATTCAAATTTAACATCAGACAAACTACAAATGTAATAACCAAGGTCTTCACCCGAATCAAGTTGATTGTATGTATATATAAATACTTCAGGTTGTTTCTTCTGGAATAAATAAAGAAAACTTTATTAAATCCTAAATTAAAAAAAAAAATTGCCAAAAACTCGGATGTATAAATATTTTCATGTTTGTCTTGTAATTTCAGGTCCTGTAACAGTTCCAATGGTATCAACGAATTCGTCACCTCCCATTGCAATGCCAGTACAAGTTCCTCCAGGTCATGTCGTACAACAAATTGTCGACGAGAGCGGCACCTTACGCCATGTGATACTCTCTCCGCAACATCCAGCCGGACTCGTGCCATTAACCTCACATAATCCTCAGCACTATGTAAGTTCAGTAGGAGAGTCTAGAGAAAGCCCTAATTAGTCTGAAAACTTGGACCCATTATCGAGTTGTTGAATGATAAAACTTTTCTTTGAGAATTCTCTTCTAAACGAAGGACGGGAAGCATCACCTTTGTCAATGTTGCTTCATCGCCATTTAACACAAACTCCCCCACGAAAGTATTCGTTTGTCTAATTCACTAGTCGATAATGCGTCTCTTTGGACGGGCTTAAGTCACCTTTAAAAGAGAATTCTATAGTCGCCTTCCAAATATACCTTTTGAATTGAAATATTTACAAGACAGAAGAAGTCTCCCGCAAGAGGCCTCCGGATACGTCTAAAGTGCGTCGTACGTCCTCAGTACCGTTTTACAATCGCTCGATTTGATGCGGTACAATAACACGACTGACAGCATCAATCAGCCCTCTTATGATTTGCCGTACATGAATTATTACTTTAATTAGGCACTTAGCTCGTACGCACTGACACGCAATTTTAAATGTCGTAGGTGCGATAGCCCATGAATTGTTTTGTCGCGTTAATATTGACATCCGCACGCACTTGCAAACAATATTTTCACAAAGCATGAAACGCTAAACTAAGTGATAAATATTATCGCTTTCATAATCGCGAGTTTATATTTTCGTATAGTATTTTTTAGGAAACCGTGAAAAATGAACGCATGCAATGAAGAAGTGTTCTTAATAAAGTTTTATAATTTTGTTGTTTTTAATTAGATAATTATTTCTGTTCCATTACCCATAAACAACAAAACGTCAAAACGTGGCACTTTCAAACTATTACGTATATTCGAAATTGTTGTGATTACTTGGAGTGTAGCTTTTTTGTGGCCCCATGGTGGTGGCCCGGTTTTGTTGTTTGTAATAAAGAATATCTGTAGTGTGTTTTTTTACGAATAAAATGTTTATTATGTAAAATTTAATCGAATCGTAATTCTGTCGGTTTCTTTTGTTTATTGACGAAATTCTATTTTAATTGAAAACTTATTAAAAAATATACATGCAAATTTCTTGTGATGCGGAGTTAGACAACTTGCACTGCTACGGGCTCAGATAACATTTCACACATTTTCTGTGCTATGATTAGTTCAAATACCCGACAGAAAAGCTTTTATTGTACAGTTTTTCAAAATTTTGTGTCTTCAAACATTCTAAAGTGAGTAAAGTAGCATTCAAAACAACATCATTGTTCGAACTAGTTAATAATAAAATAGTACTTGCGTGGATGTCTATCGACTTCCATAGATACAAATTCTCTCTAAATTTAGGCCATTTTGGTAATTGACATTTATTCGAGTTATTTACTTATTTCAATCGTCCCATATCTGAAAATACGTAATTACTATTCTAGAAAATTGATATGCGTCGTACTTTGCCCAAAAATAAATGGTGCCAGTTGTAGTTTACTGTTATCGATCGCGGAAATAATGTTGACCAAAAATTATTGTATGAAATTTATTCTCATTATTTCGGAAGTGACGTAGAGTAACAACAATGACAACCATTTCAGCCTTGAACGAAAGAACTCCTAACTTCGTACAAAATTCAATTTATAAATTAGTACTTGAACATTCATGTCACAACTAAAAATTTTAGCAGCCTTAACAGAAACAAAGTTTAATTTTTAAAGTGCTTTAATGGAGTAATTGGTTGTGTTAAAAGACTTTCGTACGTTTTCTTCTACGATACGATACGACGAAAAATGTTAAACAATAGTCAAATTTTGTCAGTGTTACATAATCAGTAAGTAATAATTATTAGTATTTTTTTAAAAGAAGTTTCTTGAAAAAGTTGTAAATTGTTTTAGATAAACTTTTTTTTTGCAACATTCTATTATGTACACAATTCAAAAACATGCATCTCAGAGCGGTATTTACTTAGAATCAATGTTTTAATGGTTGTAGAGAAACAGAAAACCAAGGTATTCGTGTTCTGTGATTTATAAAAAGTTGAGAAAACATAAAATTCAACATTGTTTAAAATGACCACATTACAGTATCTTGCCTTCTTGATGTTTTGGTAATTCATTTGCTATTTAGATCTTTGTTTATTTACGACACGACTTTATAATTTTAATATTTGAACTTGAACTTGTGAGAGAATCATAAACCTTTGCTCAATTCAAAAACTTGTTTGTTTAAACAGGATTTCATAATTTTAATATTTGAAGCAAGATAATCATAAAATTTTTGAAATGATTAACAGGCTACTCATTTCAAAAATTTTGAAGCCCCGCACGGTTACCCGGCAAATAATTCTTACCAATTTCACATAAGGTCTGAAAAGTTTTTTTCAAGGTGCGCACATTGTCATTAAGTAGGTCGAAGAATGTCATAGTTCAAATTTTTAAATATAATAGCACTGGAAGGTTGTCTGTTGTCTGTGCTTATCACAATAACCGAATTTCGTGCTAACGAATATAAATATTGATTGTAGATAAAGAGATACACTGGATTTGTAAATTTGTCCTTCTAATAGTTTTTTTTCCGATAGTCCGATAAGTATCTTCCGAGCCCATGTCTGGAACTACGATTATTCTTGATTCTCGGAATTCAATGTCAATTACAGTAAAAAGTAGTTTATTTTTGTTTGGTTTTAACAACTTTACAACCACCGTTTCGGCGACCTTCAAGTTTTTTGAAGTTTAAATCAAAATGTCATCGTTGAAATTGTTGAAAATAAACAAATATAACGTAAACAAAAGAAAAAAACAAAAGTGCTGAATCACTAAAAAGTGCATTTCTAGAATGCATAAGTAAATCCCTGAAGACCGCTAAGATTAAAACCACATTTGTTTTATTGTTTGAATATTTTCTTTTCTTAACCACTAACCGCATGTGCGTAGATGGTTTTATCTACTAAATGGTGATTCATGCCGAATAAGCATTAATTTTGTAATTGCAGTTGACTGTTGTGTACAGGTGTCCCAAAGAACTAATGATGGAAGTGTGCTAATTTTCTACTACTACAACTGTGCATTTCATCAGTGGCGCACACCATATTTTTTGCATATTATGTGAATTGTTTACAACAAGAAAAAAAAGGATATTAGTACCTTTTGTGCGTTTCGTCGGTTGAGGTCTGAAATTTTGTAAAAAAATCTAGTTGTCTGATATAAAACATAAAACACAAAGAAAAAATCATTATTTTATCTCTTACATTACTTCCCAACTCGCAGCAATAAGGTCATTTTGATGAATAAAGTTTAATTTCATGTTTTCTCAACGTCTCGCAGCTTGTACAGTAGGAAAAAGTAGGTCTTCCGTTTCCGTCTGTTGTACGTCTGTTGGTGATCTCATTAGACGGATAGTCTTAAAACTCTCGGAATGTTTAGTTGTTTCTACTAAGTAAATCCAGCTTGCGTCCAATTCTAATTTTTATTCTAAACTACAGCTAATATGGTAATTAAAATATAAAAGGTGATGAGGACTGTAGCATCAATTATATACGCATGCTAACCGTGAATCCTCACCAGACGTTTTTTTTTTATTGTTAATTAAAATTAAACTTCAATGATTCTATTGATTTCAATAATAAGCCTAACACGTTAAATGATACTGTGACTTCACGGATGTAGTGGATCAGTGACTTGTAGTATAGTATGGGCAAAATAAATCCTTCCATTTTTTTTTTTCTTTTCTTAAAAATTTCGGTCAAATACCAACACGCATGGAATGTTTGTCACGTTTCTGAAAAATACGCGATGTAATGTCGTTATTGGTTTTAAAAATAATTTTTAATTTGTTTTACCTCCATCATGTATTAAAGCAAACAAGTAAGTATTTTGTAAAACCAATTGGGCTAACTTATTTTATTTATTACTTGAAAAACGAAGGTGTATCTGATTTCTCAGAAATTTGACTAGCCAGTGGTGTTACATTGTACCGACCGAAATTAATATACGTAGATTATCCCTCGAAGAAAGTTTTTTATTAAGTTATGGCCCTATATGTGTATATTTAGTAATTCAGTCAGTCATAGTTGAACGTATGTAGTTATTTATAACTGTTGGGAAAGTTAAAAAAAAATGCCTCGGAAGGTTTTTTATCAATCCGAAAAAAGCGCAGAGATGTGCCACTTATTACAGAATATATCAACAAAATTCATTAAATAACTTCGCTACAAAATTTCACACAATTTGACAAGGATAGCATTTTATTCACAATAGAATAAATAGTGTTCGTCTACGTCGGTCTAGTGCCAAGGTTGATCTTAATCGCTCCAGTCGTTGTGAAATTGTTTAAATTTAGTAAAAATCAAAAAAGGTATCTATGATCTACCTTTTTCTCCGTATTTATCAAAAATTGACGAATGAGCAAAAACAAACCCTCTACACAAATTAAAAGCTTGTGATAGCTTCGCTTATTGGTAAATGTATTGTTAATATCTGTGGGTGTGACATTCCATGACACCATGAAAAAAATATTTAAAGCGATTTTCTTTGGTTTCCGACGTTGCCACAGTTTTTAGTTTTTATTAAACGTTACATTTGGAAAAAAGTACTTTTGTCTTCAGAGTTAAATTTTTCTTTTCGATATTACACTATATTTTAATTATCTACTTAGTCTTGGATGAATGCATCTGACGATAGGTGCTATTTTTTCACATTTATGTAAGATATTTTTTTAATTTTTTTTTTTTTTTCGAATTTAGAATTTAATAATGTGGCTTTACATTTTTTAATCACCTGCATACTTCTTATGTTATTGATTTTAAATCCATATAATAATCGCCTTTCTAAAATGTGTCGTCAGAAACAAATTAAAACTTGACTTATTTTACCGATGTTACGTTATAAAATTTGCCAAATTTTACAATATAAATGTCTCACGTGTCTCAAACTTTTATGACTAAATTATAAGTCATCCTTTCAGTTCATTTTGATACATAAAAATTGTAATATGCGTCTGCTTATAAACCCTCATTCATTTCACCCATTTTTAGTAATTAAAATGTAACCGCTATATCTACAAACCTATTAATGATAACAATATATTTATGGGTTTGTTCTACTCCTACAAATTGTTGTTGCTAACACCGCTGGGAGTAGGAACCAAAATGACATTTACCATTTTATAATTACATTTTAGAAAAAAATCATTATGTCCATACGTCAACTTACCCCTAACCCTAGTTCCTGGCTTTGATGAAGATCGATGAACTCACTTTGCAGTTATCGCATTGATCTTTGTATATGCCCAGGTCGCAGACATATTGAAGGAGGTGGACGACCTTTTCTTCAAAATTATATCACAAATATATGTCGCTAATAAATAACCATTAAAGATAATAATTTTCTGTTCGTTAATAACGTGATTTATTTTGTCGAGACTTTATTTTACCGTCATCGTGTTACTGACGTTCAATTTACTTTTATTTATATGTTTTAAACAAGCTCAAATGGCGTTTGTTAGCTTTACGTAACATTGTCAGTACAAGAAAAAGATCATCAATATTAATTGAGTGTTATCACCGATAATGAATAATTAATAACAGCACAAAAGTAGAGATTCCTGTAACAATATTTTAGGAGAGGTTGTAATGTTGATATGTACCAAATGAGTAATAATACAATGCGGAAGTCGTTATCCAAAAACATCGTATGTAACACTTAAATAAATAAGAGTACAGATGGCAGATAAGGTTGATATGATTGCTTGTGGTGGTGTAAGTTCGTTGTTTATTATGTTTGACTATAAACATCGTGGCGGTGTCTTGATCATACTCCAATTGTTTTCCACGAAATCTGTGATAATTTTCTGTATCAGTACTACACAAAATGTACTTGACTAGCAACTTTACTGTGCGAATGTTAATGTTCATAATTTTAGAAAAAAAAATTAATTTGACACAAAATATTCTTTTTGTGTTTATTGTGTAGTAAAACACCGTTATCAATGAACACAATTAACGTATTAAATTTGCGGTTGGCAACTGTAAGTCGTAAAGTGGATACTGCAGCTCTTATCACATCCACGTTTCGCTATTTATGAATGACGTAGAGAGCCAGCGAACATATCACAATCGTACTTAACTAACCTACGTGTATTTATTTGTGCTGCATACGTGTATCAGTTGTGTACATACCCACTTTTTATCCCATACGGAATGTCAGATACAAAAAAGGAAAAAACGCTGCCAAGCAATGAGGTATCTATTTCGCTTTTTATTTACATATTTAAAAAAATCTAGTTTTTGTTATTAGCAAATGTGTGAAATCATTTTAATTGGTTCATTTGCGTATAGTTAGTAATCACAGTACACTGTAGTATTTCTTGTTTATGTTTCTGTGTTTGGTCCGTTTGTTGATCGTTTTCATTTTTCTTTCTTTATAGGGTGCCGGTCCAGGAAACAGCACAAATCAGCCACAACAAGCATTTTATCAAGGATTGCCCGCGGGATTTCCCGCCTCACATTTCCACTCAAACATACCACCAGGACACCCAGGACCAAGTCCTACCCGTCTCGGACATTCCCCACCTTTAAATCAAGTTTACTACAAAGATGAACGAACTAAACGACAATACATTAAGTTGAAAACAAAGCATCAGGCCAAACAAAAATTGGACAGTATGCAAAAGGACTTGGTCAATGGTTTGAGAAGGCCGTCAGCCAAAGATAAAGATATGAACAGCGTAGGAACATCAGAGGACGGAGAGGAAAGCAGTATTCCAGACGAGGAGGATTCCGTTCAAATCATTGCCGATTTTTTGTCGTCCGTCCAGGCTCCAACGGTTTGATAAAAATAAACTTTATTGTGTGAATCAGATGAAATGTCACAGTCAGTACAATTTACATTGGTTGCATGCTAAGAACGCGATAATTTTTAACTCGTTCGAATGCTGTAGATAACTAGGATGTCTAGTACGCTGAGAAGTTCGTCTGTATGCTTGTCCATATGGATGCGATAATCGACACGTCACATTTTTAACATCGTAGTTTTAACTCTCGTTAGAAATGGGAACTGGTGTCATTGGTGTAGAGATTAAAATAAAATACCGGATACTGTGCGATAGCGGATGTGTTTCTCCGGCCATCTGCTTGCCATTGTTGTACGAAAATCGCATATTGCGAAATGGATATTTTATTGCGAAATAATTTTTTGTTATTATTTAATGCAACTCGTAACCGCATGGTAAATACAATAGTGGAACCAACAGATGTGATAAGACAAAATTTCTGATCGCATGTATTTACAACGTGCAGTAAATGTTATGGGGACCGACGACGAAGTTAAACTGTAGGTAGACCGTTGTAGATTATAGATTGACTTCGTGAAGAAGCATAAATACAACTTTGCGCATTAGTTCTTTTCATTGCTTTAATTTATTAACCTACGAATATGAACAATCTTACCCATGTTGAACATTTATTAATTGCTTGCAGCATATTCCATATGTGGGACTTTCTTTAAATAAACGACGATCGGTCATCTTCCTATTTCATAATGAATACATTCATCTTTATTTATTTTGACATAGTGCTTTCACAATGGAAGTTGGTATGTTTTCATATCAAAATTTATTTCTATAATGTGTATATACAACTGTTTGCAAAATCTGCTCTAGAATGTTGTAATAGAAACAAGATAATTATCGATTAATAACGTTAACAATAACTACAATGAAGAACCTTAATATTTTGAATTGGAAAAAAATTTAATCTGGCAATTGAACCATTTCCAAAATGTAGGTGTACAATATAAAAGCAAATAATCAAAAAGATATTACTTTTTAATTTGTTGAGAACCCGATTACAATTATATCTTAGTTTCAACAACAGTTTATCTTTCTTTAAAGTTTTGAAACGTAACACATATTGTAATAAGATGATTATATAATTAACAGAATAAAAAAAGTGTACCATATGTGAGAATGTAATAAAATTTCATGTCGATTGTTAGTTGAACAAAATATGACTTTTTTAAAACAGAAGAATTTTTATACCACATTTTGATTGCAAATTAATACACAAAAATAAAACATTTTAAATACAAACACTTATAAATATCGTATGATCGTGATAAAGGGGTCAACACACACTTTATAACTAAGCTTACTGAGGTAAATGGCTTTAAATAATTTAGTTACATGGACGATTTATTGTAAAGTGAACTAATAAATAGCACTTTCACGAATACCGAAGCACCTCGAGTACAACGGCACGACCGGATGTTCGTTTGTTTCATAACAACCGCATGCTTTATTCAGCACTTCTGAGAAATTTAAATTTAATAATAATGTGATAATAGTGGCTAAATCATATGTTTACAATTTTCCAAAAATGGTTTCGTTTAAATTTTTTTACATTGTCTGGAAAACCACGACGTATTTTCTTAGTTAGTTTGAATTCAATGGCTGTTATTTTTTCTAGAGTTAAATGTGGATCCTATACATTTAAAAGAGAAGAGAAAAGAAATTATATCTAAACGAAATGCTTCCCAAAATATCTCCACCAAGAATAAAGTAGAATTAGTAATTTTTATTTCAAAGATTTTTAAAATGTAAACCGTCGTGTTTGTAAATATGTGTAGATACATAAAATTGTTCAACAGTTAAAGTTCTAGGACAAGGATATCCTGTAAATGTTATTTAAATTTTATAAAATAACATACTTTTTCCCTTGTAATTTATGAATCTGTGTGAGTTTTTACTCTAGACATCCAGATTTTTGTAAAAAACAAAAACTAAATTGTAGAACGACACTTTACAATTTAACTTCGAAATTGCAAAACCGAATGCTCTAAATCCTTGCAAACGTTTTAAAGTTATGGGAAACGTGGTGATCATTAATTAAAGTCATCCATTTACGAGCCTCTGACAACTCATAACTGACGACGTCATTTTAAAATTGTATTGATATTTTGTAGAATTGCGTATACAGAATGACTCAAAAAAATTAATGGATGGGCCTGTTTATTTTATTGATTAAATCAGGAACGGCTCACTCCATTTTCTCAAAAATTTGTAAATGCAATGCTATTTATTAATATTACACTGTACCTATCCAATTTTGCAAAGGAAACACTCATTTGAAACATGCGCGGAGCATGCTTTTTCACATTTACTTTGACATTAGGTACATATCTTTATATTAACTTACAGGGGTCTCATAAAAATAAGGTGCGCAAAACCAATTTTATAATTTTTCGAAAAAGCTGGATATGTTTTATTGTACTTCAGCGGCGAGGGAAGTTCTGTCGAAATAAACTTCGCCCAATTTTTCGTTCCAAAATTCGCATTATCACGGTCCATCTATTATTTTAAGATACACATCTAAAAAAATAACCATATTGTAAAAATAGGGAACACCAAATTGCAAGTTATTTATATTATTTATATTTATTAAGTTGTAATGCAAAGAATATTATTGTACAACTCTGAAACGGTAAAATTGTCTTTAAAACAACATTTTTGATGCATACATGTAGTAAAATGAAATTACTTAGATTTATTGGCCCGACAGAAAAAAATTTTACCGTCAAAACAGGTTATCGCAAGACAAAAGGTGATATCCACCGACAAGAGAATATTTTCCACGACAAAAATACGTATTGCACTGAAAAAAATCGTAATAACGACAAGATATAAAAAATAAAAAAGTCTGAGCCCGCAAGGAGGGTTGATTATCAGCGTAAGTGATGCACCATGAACTTGAGAGAGTATATTTATTTTCAGTGTTGGTTACACAACAATTTGGTTTAGTAATATTTTGTAGTACCATGTAAATATAAAAATTAATTATTTTGGGCGTGTGAACGCTGGTGTCAATGAAGTTATTTCTGTCGTGAATTTATGCTATTTCATGTGTGATTTCTTGTCGTGTAAAAGATCGATTCTGACGTGCCAATATGTATTATTGTATTCTCCAAATGAAATTACGGTAACATTTATAACATGAAAATATTTAGATAATTTGTTAACGTTGACCGTTTAAAATTTGTATAACTGTAAAAGGTAATTGCATAGGTGTGATTGAAAATATTTGTAAATCTTCGACAGTGGACATAATGAACATCGTTAACCTCGAGGAGGATTTCCTTACGTTGGCTGAGCCAATATACTGAAAAAGAATTTAATAAAAAGAAACGGTGGATTTTGTGCGTACGCTAGCTCAGTAAGCACCACACGAAAATTCCCTTTAAAGGTGTAAATAATTCATATGGACCTATTAAGAGTTCTGCTCAATAATGTGGCAACAATTCATTTGATTCACCCTCTTATCTTCACATACCTAACTCATATAATTGTAGGTATCTGAACTGAGTTCCCGAAGTGCCTTATTGCAATGGGCCCCGCCCGCGAAACCATCTGAAGCATCAAATGCGGACAGTCCCGAGATAGATGTTGGTGATTTACGTTACGAAGTATTACTTAGTGATAAGAGCAAAGAAATGAAATTCAAGTCAATATACAGCGGCTCCTCTCTTTCCTGTCGCATCCGCGATCTCAGGCCAGGTCAGGAGTACTCCGTTTGCCTCCAAGTGCACTACGACGAACTTCAAGGCGCCGCCACCGATCCGCTCAAGTTCACGACCCCTCCCTGCGAACCCGACCAACCGCAACCTCCCAAACTCCACCAACGCCAGAAAACTTCCCTCCAACTCAAATGGAGCACCGTCAACGACAACGGATCCCACATCACCAACTACATACTCGAGTACGACGAAGGGAAGGGGGGCGAGTTCGTGGAGTTCCACAGGGGGCGGGTGAAGCAGTACACTCTGCACAAGCTGCAACCGGCCACCCCGTACCAGTTCCGGCTGGCGGCCATCAACGAGATCGGCAAGAGCGCCTACTCTGACGCCATCACGTACGCCACTTGCAACAACCCGCCCAGCAAGCCGCCGCCGCCGGCCCTCGTCGAGGCCTCCATCAACTCGCTGCACCTGCAGTGGAACCGAAGGCCTATCGACGACGAGTTCACGCTCCAAATGAACGACGCAAGGACTAATTACCGGCCGGTGTATAACGGGAGGGAAACGTATTGCATTTGTTCGGGTTTGAGTAATTTTACCGAGTATAAGTTTCGGTTGCGCGCCGAGAACGACGGCGGCCAGTCGCCTTGGTCCGACGAAGTCACCTACATGACGCTTCCCGACCGCCCCAGGGAGCCGTCGAAGCCCGTGGTCAAGGGACGCATCCACGCCCATTCGTTCAAACTCAAGTGGGAACCCCCTAACTATACCGGTGGCGCCGAGATAACCGAATACATACTGGAAGTGAATTCTGGTAGTGGATACGATGTCGTTTATACTGGTAACGAAACGGAAGCTGTCTGTGATAAACTAACCCCTGGCACTACCTACCAATTGCGCGCCAGCTGCATCAGTGCCGGTGGTCGTAGCAATTACTCAAATCCCTGCACGGTGACGACGGATGCCATCGCGCCGGGGCAGTGCGCCGCTCCCAAGTTGCACGGCAAACCCAAGGCTAACAGCATCACGATCAGGTATGTAAAGTTGGCCAAGTCGAACCTAAAATGTCGTGAACTTTTATTTTGTTATGTTCTTTAGTTTTATTTACTTTACTTGCACAACGGACCTTGTTACAAAATTTGACCAAGTAACTTCCAACGAACCTGTCGATTAAAGATTTATTAAGGTACTTTCATCTGTCGCTAAAAATAATGACGATATCATGCCTTTTGGAAAATACCAAATTTCATATATTTTTTTTGTGTTTACAATTAGAAGAATTTGAAGATGCTGATTTATTGTGTTTGTCGTATGTTGACACGTATGATCTCCGAAATTCAGAATAGATTACGTAGAACTTTATTGCCTAGGTTATTAGTTGCCAAACTTTTTTCAAAACAAACCCTTCTGGCAAGAATTTTTTTCGCTACCCCACCCTGTTGTATGTAACTGCACCAGTCTCCCACTCCAACACCTCAACCACATTTTGAGAACCTCTGATCTAAGTAAACGACAAAATGTATATTCATCCCATCTTTATATTTACATACTTTACATACACTACCGCTCAAACCTACCAGCAATTTTTTTCAATAATTCCGAGATAAGGATTTTTTGCTTTTATCCTTAATTTGTTATTATGATGTATGTAAACCTGCTTATCAGTAGCGGTAGTTTTTCTTCTCTTTAATGTTCTTAAGAAACGTAATGTAATTTATCATTTTTGCGCCGTTGTTGGATGATTTTATCATAACGTAACAATTTATCACTGCAAAAAAAAGATTTTTTGATAATTTACTTTGAACCGAGCTACTGTGTAATAAATTAGATCGTCGTGTATATCATTTCTGCCCTACTTCGAAACAACATTTGTGAGATATTTTAGAACAAGAGTGGAATGTCGATAAAAGAAGTCTAGATAAATTAATAGCAAAATTACCAAAAATGTATTCAATGCTCATTAAAGACAAAATTGGTCACATGTACGAACAAAATATTTAGGTTTGTTAAGCAATGTAATACAATATATGTACTTTGATATTGTATTGTTTCAATAACCAAAAGTTCACATTTTAATTATAATTTTAAGTGGACAAATACTGTTGAATGGTACAGTAGGTGGGTCGCGGATTACATACGATTAAGTAATGATTATTCATCCTTTTCAAAAAGTTGATAACGTTCAGAAAAAAATGTTTAATAAACAATTGTTAAAAAAGCATTTATAAATACAGTGATGTTTGTGCTTCAGTGATGCTCAATTTTTAGAACAGGGTTAAGACGTGTTGAAAAAATATATATGTGAACTGATTTTGTTTTTTCAGGAACGCTCCATGCATTTTTTGTCTTATCGTTGTGTTATTGATTATAATGGCGTGGATTTGAGGTTCATTATTAACCAAATAATACCCTAGGGCACTAAGAATAATTGCCATAGTAACGTCAACAGAAAACGCAACTGGCTGAAAACCAACTATTACTTAGTGTATAGCTGGTTGTGTAGATACGGCGACAGCACTAAGTCCAAAAACTCCAAAAAAAAACTGAAAAATTGAAAAAACCAAAAAACAATGGAAAAAGATTTAAAAATCCAAGAAACAAATCCTATTCAAAGTACATAAAATACTGTTGATCTACATTTGTGGCTTACCAGTGCATTAACTTCTTTTTTATGGTTAATTCACTGTTTAATTCCGAGGAAATATCTTCGTTCTTCTGGAGTAAATGCAACCAATAAAAGAATGTGCAAAGATGACTTTTTTTGTAAATATCAAAAACTAAACGATAAGACAAAATTTTGTATGTATCACAAATAACTGTTTTATTATACGTTAATAAATAAAATTAATAACTTTCTTGTATCAATCATTTCCAGAAGGTTGATTTTGCCTTACAAAAGGCGTTACTTCGAATCGATTTATCACTTAATGAGTTGTAAGTGATAATTAAGAAAATTATAATAATGGGAATACTTCAATAATTATCTCATGTTAAATTTGTATAACCAAAAAATGGTTGACATTACTTCAAAATTTCTTAAAGGAGTTTAAAAAAAAAAAACTAAAATTTTTACAATAAAATGTTGTTTGTACTTCAATATTATTTTTGCAGCTCATCTGTGTTCTTGTACAGTTTTGGGAACAAAATTGCGCTCTATTATAAGAGTTGCATTGCATTATCAAAATTTATATATCCGCACATTTAAGTGTACATATTTACATATAATTATGCCCCCGACAAAAATATTGTGGTTAAATAACTGTCTGTCTGTCCGCCGTCTGTCTCGATTTTTGTTGGACAGATATTTTCCTAACTACGGGACCGATTTTGTCAAATTTTTGTGACTTTGTCTATTCATCCCCAGGAACAATGTGATGACGTGATCTAAAAATACTCGTAGTAAATGTATTTTAAATTTTATAAATTAACATACCTCTACAGGTGTAGTTGTTGAATCCGTGTCGAATTGTTGAAAAAAATCAATTTAATTTTGAAACTGCAAGACCTGATGCTCTGAAATCTTTCAAAGATTTTAAAGTTATCGCAGGCATGGTAAATTTTCGTAGACATACGAGAAAAATGGAACAAACCCAACGTTCTTTCGCCGTACAAAAATAAAAACCATTATCACGCATAGCGCAGTGTTAATAGTATTCCTAATATACCTATATCTTATTTATTTTTTATACAAAAACATTGTTTTGCTGGATGGCGCGTCTTACAGATGGTACTACCGCTGACAAATGTTTTGTCAGTATCCTGCTGTGAGAAGGACAGGTAAAAGATTGGTAAGTGAGAGGCTTGTAAGTTTTTTGCATTGTCTTGTGGATAATTCCAAATCACCACACAGCAGGATACTGACAAAACATTTGTCAGCGATAGTACATCTATTCGTCTCATCTGAAGATATCTGACCCGTATTCCTCGAACAAAATATGTTGGCTGTTTTTTTGAAATTAAAACAACTTACAATTTAGAATAAGAATTTATTGATGTAGTTGCAACAAATGCAAGTAATATACCTTCAAACGTCTCATTGCAGCCATTATTCTTGTGCTTTCACAACCAAATTGTTTGCAAATTTTGAATTTATCATTTAATGTCTAAGATCCACTATCACCAAGATGGTCAATATTTTTCTTGCTGGCTTGAATCAAACTTACTTGGTGTAAATTTCATTTGTCTTATATAAAACAACCATTTGTCAAATACACATAAATGAACAGAGACATTGAACTTAACTTAATTTAGTGCTAAGATTAATTAATTTTTAATACAGATAGATCTATTGTAGTTTCGTCAATCTGTTGGACGACTTTTGGAGATATAAGATCTTCGATGGACCCCTATTTTGGTTGAAATTGATTTCACAATTATTTTGACTTTATTTCTTCATCGCCGAAACCTAAAATTAATTAACTACTACTACTAGAAAATAGGAACTCATCTCTCACGCTTAATTTACTAATAATCTTATTTTAAAATACAAGTAACCGTTACATCTGAATAAATCTGCAATGATTTTGGACTTGACACAGACCACGACGACCTTTACACCAAAGCTGTTTCTAATTTTTTTTTTTTTTTAGTATTTGTATGTTAACGCACTGTTAAAGCCTTGAAAATACGGCAAGGTTTGTTATGGAAATAATCAGTGGGTTTGGAACCCGGATGTGATTGTAAACTTTTCCGGTGGTATCAGGGGCTGGCACATTACGAAACCTCATTTTTGATACACTTTGCACATTAATAGCCCACATTCTCCACGATTGATTATTAAGCTCGATTAATCACAAAAGGCAAACCACTTTCGGAAATCCTTCTACTCACATGGCAATTCATGAGAGTGTGACAATCTCTGGTAATTTATATAATTATTCATAGACTTTTCAGTTCAGCGCTAGATTGCAGTTCACATTATGCCATTACATTTTATCTAATTACCTAATCATCAAGCGTATTGTACGATAATTTAATGCATTAACGGATGAACTACTCAGCGGTGATTTATACTTTGGTTACCCAACGTCTCTGGAATTTCCTACGCGCCACTATTGTTAAAAAGATATTTTCAATTGTTTATAGCAGATTTTTCAATAGTTAGTATTAATTGCATCCCAATTTGTGTCCCCTTGAGCACGCAAAATTGAACGAACAAGTTGACTTTTTAAATGTGACCAATGTATACTTCCTCTTCAAAAACCCGTAAAATCTAAGAAACCGAAGGCGTAACAGAGTTTTCAAACCATTGAAACGACCCGTCGATATAAACATATTCCTGTATTTGTGGTTTATAAATCCGTCTCAATTTTTTAATTGCTTTAATTTTTGTTGTTTAATATTTCCACCAATAACCAGTAGCTTCGTCTCCAACTTTTTTCCTAGACATTTCCAGGAAGAGAACAAAAATTTTGTCTGCCCGAGAAATTCTCTGAAATGAATGAGGAATTCATAATTGCGTATATCCCAAGAGAAAGCTAATAAAAGATAGTGAGCACTAGTTTTAAATTTCATTGGTGTCATAGATGAGATTCATTTAACATCTGTGACTCATAGAATTCGTATTGAATGTTTGTATGTATAATAAAATATAAAGGTTTTTAGTGGAAGAAAATGTAAATTTAATGATACACTTGAATCCACTTGAAAGAACTGAAAATAATAGAACTTCAGAAAACGAATACAGAAATAGTTTACGGTTGAACAACAATGGCTGAACTAAAAGCTAGAAATTAAGACAGTTTTAAAGTAATTACAGTGGAGAAAGATCCTGACAAGATCATTCATACATTTCCGCTAACGAGGTTTAAGCAGTATTTTGTAGATTTCCAAATTATAACGAAAAGATGTATTTATTTTTAACAATATTCTATGATTCTCGAGCTGGACAAAATAATCAAATAATAAAAAAAAAATGTTTTATGGAACATAACCATTGAGTTACTAATTAGTAGTATGTGCAATTGGAGCTCACATTAGCAAATTTTTAACTGTCTTTTTATACTTCAAAAGGTCGCAAGTCGACAAAAAACTGAAGGGCACTATCTTCTTCAGGGTTATTTCTAAAAAAATATAGATGAATTAATACACCACACGTATAAACGGCATGGTTACATTATTTTACACATCTAACTTATTAGGAGGTTAAGTCATCAAAGTTTCGATAGAAACGAATAGACAAATTTTGTTCAGCAGTCCGTCAAGCTTCACAACATGTGGTAAATTTCATAAATTGTATACACACTTTGAATATTTTAAATAGAATGTATGTAAAATAAATTGAGACGAAGTCATGTTTGGAAGGAACAAACAGATAAATTTTATCAAAAAAAAGTCAACTTTAAGACGTTTGTAAGATTGAGAACAGTTGGTTTTTTTCCATTTAAACGAAGTCTTAAAAAATGTTTCTCTAAATTAGTGTAAGTAACTAGAATCGGTTTTGAAACATTTTCTAACCAAATCTTTTGTGTTGAAGGTGGTGTGAGCCGGACTACAACGGGGGCGCACCAGTGCTGGAGTACGAGGTAGAACTGGCCGGTCCGCCAGAATACGTACGAAATCTAATTCACAAGAACAAAGAAACGGAGTGTACGGCCACGAATCTCAGTCCGGGCTGCGAATACGCCTTCACCGTCAGAGCCGTAAATAGGATAGGTCCAGGACAATGGTCGGATCAACTGAAAGTTACCAGCGGAGCCGCTCCGCCAGACGTTCCCTCGCCTCTGAAGACCGCTTGCAAATCACCATTCCATATAGCCGTTGACTGGGAAGAGCCGCCGTCTAACGGAGCCCCCATTCAAGAGTATAAACTAGAAGTTAGCACAAACAATTCCGAAGACTTCCATCTAGTATATCAAGGTCCAGATAATTACCATGACGTCAAGGGTCTGAATCCGTTTACGACGTACTATTTCCGGGTTCAAGCATGCAATTCTGCGGGTTTGTATGACTTTATTTTATTTTAGCAACTGTTTAAATAACGGTGTTATCAGTACTGAGTTTCGAAAAATCCCGTTTATTAACAGTCGTACAAATAACCTTAGAGATTATTTGAGGGAAAAAAATTGATACATGTTAGCGTAACAGAGCGAATTTATAAACACTCTTTTTAACATGTTTCTTTGAAATGATCAGCTATTTTAAGTTATTGAGAAATTGTATTTCACCTCCCAAGTTTATTTTTTGTATGCAAACATTATAGCTTAACTAGTAAGTAATTGACACCAGCTTATATGTAATAAGAAATTAATATGATGGAACATCTCCACGCTAAAAATTATTTGTAATCGAGTCATCTGAACGTACATTCAAGATTCGGTTAAAAATTATTGTTGTGTAAACTACGGTTGCGACTGCAATGTCACACAGATGTAAAATATCACGATCAGTAATATTTTATTTGTTTATTAACGTCTGTGCAAATTCTTAAATTCTATCAAATTGTAATGTAGCGAATATCATAGAAACACTCCCCATCGTAACAAAATCACCAAATAACACATCTTAACTTCAACGGAATAACAGATGAGTTAATTGGAACTTCAATTTAAAAAGACCATATGATCGAAAAAAAAATCGTCTAGCAAACTTCAAAATTTACTGTTAAAACATGTGTGGCAACACCAACATATTCCTTGTCTGTTAAGGCTTATATCTGATCCGGTTTTGTCCTATCTTCATGGAGAACATCATCACAGTTTCAAGAGTTGCATTTTAAAAATATCAGACATATCGCTTCCAAATCGAATTCGAATTCAAAACTTCCAAAACAGAACATTTTTGTCCGTGTCCACTTTATTCTATACATATACCTAAGTGTTTATAGGGTTATGGAAACCCACAGAGAAGAGGCGGATGAGCCTAATACCTCTCGCTGCTGGGTAGCAACAATATTTTTACGTGCGATAATACAATAATAGTACATATAGTGGTCCCAATCTGACTTCGTTTTGTGGCACTGCAATCTCAATTACGGCAAACATTAAGGGTTTGCGGGCGCGTACGGTCTTGTGTAGAGTAGACAGTTGGTCTCTTGATGGTTTATGACCGCTGGATTACTTGAGTTGGATTACATGCGTAAAAATGAACCAGTATTGGGAACACTATACAGTATAGTAAAAACGGTAGGTTTCTGTTTCTGTCTTCGTCCGATACAGTTACACAGGTATACGTTTCCACCTCTAAAATGCAGTCTTTAACTGCGTACAGTGTATCAGACGAAGACAGAAACAGAAATGTACCAGATGTCGCGATTGTTAGTTTTATTGTAAGATCACTTTAAATGCATACTAATAAAATTTTATGACATAATTAGGATTATTTGGTTGACAATGCCGAATCGGCTTTTCGCATTAGGGTCCTTCTAAACTTGTAAGCCATGTCGCGTGCCTACAGAATTTCCTGTGTTGCTCCAAGCAGACGATCTTTGGCGGTCATAGCTGTATAATTTATGGTTTTAGAGTTTTGCGGGTTGGGTTCTTTGACTAAAGTTGTAAAATATTATTAGTATGTATTTTATTGTAATCTTAGTATACAATATCTTGCCAAAAAAGAATTATATTATAGGGAGCCGTGTTGAAATTCAAATAGACCGTAATAATCCGCTTCCGGTTTCAATAATGAATATGTCGAACGAAAGAGTTTGTGGTCATACCTGTTGCACGACTAATAAAGATTCTTAAAATTTTCTAAATTAATATAACACTATTTAATTCATTTCATTTATTGCAATAAATTAATGGTTGTTATTATTTCTATCCAGATTTTAATTTTTTAAACTCATTTATACTAAACATTTTATTGTTCAGGGTAAAAATGAGATATTTGTCATCAAATGGAAAAAAAAACATTCATGGTTTTTCTTCTGTGGTATTTCTCTGCGATTTCTTAGTTTCTATTAATTTTGAATAAACAGAAATTAAACAGAGAGTCGCTGCAAACTACAATATGTTGAAAAAGATTTTTTTTAAAGTGCAAACTGTAGTAGAAAAAACTGGACCCCAAATTCACTTTCTGTCAATTTATAGAAATTATTACTCATTTTTACCCTATCAATAATCACTTAAATTGCCTAGGATTTACAAATAACTGAGACTTTATACCTTTCTTTTGTGATTTTTATTTTTTAGTAAACTCAAAATGCGGTTTCATGCAGTTGTTCACCATTGGAATATTTAATTAATTAATATTTCGCTTTTATTATTGTGTCACTAAGCGTACGCTCCTTGATATTTGATGAATCCTAGTTTTAATACTGGAAAAAAAGTCAAAGACTAGAATTGTATGGTTTTTTAAATAACATTACTAAAAAAATTTTTGAACTATATATACACAGTGTAATATCGTATTAGGGTATTGATTTTCAACAGTTTAAGTTTGAAAACAAAACGCATCGCCAATACCGAAGGTTAATTAATATACAAGTAGCTGAGTTTTCTTACAGTTGTGGATAGATAAGCACTGCGATCGCCTTGAGCAGTAGGCAAAGTGTAGCAAAATTTACTTTCGTAGAGTATGAAATAGAGATCTGTGAAGTGCGAAAATTGTCGCGCAGACATCCCCCTTAATTAATTTGTCATTTGACGGTCTAATAACTGCATTACCGTCATTGTTGTCGTAAAAATAAATCTCATAGGTTACTCGATGACTTTTTTCGATCATATGGTACTTTGCTTGTGAACTTACTTAAGTACTTTAAGCGATGTGTGTGCCCAAACTCTCTTCGAAAAAAATTCCATTTATCTTTTGTTTGCAGGTTGTAGTCTTTTCTCCCCTATCGCAGCCATGCTAACACCTGCGGCGCCACCTTCGACCATAACAACTTTACGTAGCGAATCTACTCCAACGTCAATAACGCTCAACTGGAATCCACCGGCCGATAACGGTTCAGACATCTCCCACTACAATATAGAAATTGGTGACAAAGTGATCGTCACTGACGGTGCAGACACAAAATATCATCTAGACAACCTTCAACCCGAGACAACCTACAAAATCAAAATTCAAGCAGTAAATGCGATAGGCACTGGCTCTCTCTCGTCGACATTAAGGGTAGCTACGCTAAAATTACCTCCCGCTCCCCCCAAGTTGGAATGTATTGGCATTGGACACAATTATCTAAAACTGAAATGGGGTGACGGGAAGAACGTCGACTATACGCACTATTTAATTGAAATGGAAAACACGCGAAGTCACGAATTCCAATGCGTCTATAAAGGAACAGCCCTCACATACAAAGTTAATAAATTGCATGAATTAACGACTTACAGGTTTAAAATTTGTGCATCCAACGATGCTGGTATTGGTGATTTTTCCGATATTTACGAATTCACCACGAGCATAGCACCGCCTGCGATAATCAAACAACCGAAACTGGTTGAAGTTGATCAAACAAGTTGCGTGATTGAATGGATGCCCTCTAAAAACTCGTTCCTTGACCCGATCATATTCCAAATACAGGTCACCAGGATAAAAGATCAAACTTTTAAAGAGGTAAGCAGGTCTTCTAAAACTATAATACTAACAGTTAATAAATTTCCTAATTAAAAAATTTACAGTTCTCAGTTTAACTAAATGTAGATTTAAACAAAATTCAGACTTCAGCAGGTTTCAATTCGCAGTTTTTTTTTTTTTACAAATACAGACATTTAATACTTGACGATTTTATTGGGTATTAATTTTTGTTTCTTTTAGACGTACAAAGGTGCTGACACAAAGTATTCGATAGAAAATCTGGAACCAGGCGTGGAATATAGCGCTCGTGTGTGTCCGATTAGACTGACGCCAAATGGTGAACTGATGGGTCCTTACTCGCCTCTCTTGCACTTTTCGACACTGGTTGCCGAACCGACTGTAATATCAAAAATCTCAACAAATCCCAGCTCACCAAGCCACTCTCATAGGAACCGAATGGGCTTAACGTCAATGTTGCAATTTAATCGCTTAAAGACAGTTTCAAAAGCGCCATTTTTCTATGCCTTCCTGTTCACGTTCGTGGGAATTATCATTTCAGGATGGATTATGTCTTTTCTATAAGTGCAATTGATGTGTGGTCGCTTTGCTCACTACAAACTTAAACTAAGCGATACCCTGCCGTATGGCCAATTGAGAGTGGAATGTAAAGTATTATTAAACAGGGCTTATTATAATTAGAGGACCAAAGCGTAAGTTTTGGTATTTTTTATACGTGTTTCCGTACTTGGCGTGGTGCTATCCAATTTAATTAATGATGTGATGTCTATCGACGGTTATCGCCGTCGCAGCTGACCTGTAGTTTGATATATGTGTTGTTATTCCAGTCATATGTATAGTAAAGCAAACCCATACACAGTATGTATGTATTTATGATGCAGGATTAATTAAATCAATTTTAAGTGGCTGGAAAGTCTTGTACCTATAAAAATTTTAAATATATATACTTATATAATACAGCATATAGGTTAATAAAATTATATAACTCTAATGTTAATCTATTAAGTATATTACAATCTAATCTATATTGTTTAAAGTTGGCTAAATTTGGGTTTGTATATGTGCTACTTCCTGCACAGTCGACAGAGATATATTAATATATTATAGGTATAAAGAATATAAATACAGATATAAATAAATCAATTATATTTTATGTACTAGTACAATGTGTTTTATTTATTTTATCGCCCAACAACCCTATAGTAACATCTGTGCTAGTATGTGCAATGGCCAAACCAACATGCTGGAAGTATTTTCCATTTCGATGAATTTTTCAACAAAAACACCGTTTGTAGAATTTGAGGAACAACACAATATACACCTTTTAACATTCCCGGTTTAAAAACAAAATTTCGCGGTGAGAAAAAACGCGTATTTTAAAAGCTTAAATCAAAATCATCTAACACGATATCTACTTCCGCCGCTAGACAGAACCCCAAAAACTTCCTGAAGTCACCGTCGTCACGTAATCAAAGAACTACTCCGTCGAGTTTTCGTCCTTCGACTCATCTGTCGGATGGCTCTTATCGGGTAGCAGGTCTAGTTAATTATGCATGTGCACAATATTCTGCCCTCGTAATGCGACACTATCCACCGACTATCTATACTTAACTGGTAAATATGAAACTGTTAACATAAACCGCCCAATTGGGTTCTCTTTTTTCGGTTATATTCAGGCCCTGTAATACTGCACACGTTTCTACATCATCTACGCCCTCAATTCAGCGACCCTTAAAGCATGCGTCCCTAACACCGGAAACCCTATTGAATATGAATGGTTCGATTACACTATACAACAAATTAAAAAAAAAAAAATTCACAGAATGCACAGTATGTAATTAAAATTTCTTACCTCAAACTCAATTAGCCAAATACACTGACGTCATCCGAGGTCATCAAGATGGCAGCGTTTGACAACTAGCCGGTTTTCTCATAAGAGTCAATGCTAATATTTTCGGAATTCATTTAAATTTGAGAGTGTGTCAACTGTGTTTTTATAGTTTGGTAAGTTTGTTACAGTTTCTAGACTGTGTAGATATCTGTAAAACGCACCATAACGTTTGAATATCCTTAAAAAATAATGTTTTCCAATGTGATGTACAGGTTAACTTCGCTGCATTTTATATTATTTGTTTTGCAAATTAATTCTGTGTTAATGTACATCAATGTTTTTTAAATACACTAGCATCTTAATATTATACTATTTTGTAATTTAGGAGAAAATGCCTACATTTTGTGCTGTTGTGGGTTGCGCGAATCGAAGCACCAGAAATGCGGACAAATTTTATTTTCCTTTCCCAGCAATTAGCAACAATAAAGGTAAATATAGTATACAGGATGGGGAAAAAAGGCGGAAGCTTTGGTTAAAAGCCTTGAAACGAGTGGATTTAACGAAGCCAAAGTAAAGTATTCCTATATTTGTTCGGATCATTTTATTTTAGGTACAGTAACTACTTATTAGATTTACAGTTTCTAATAAATTACTACATTGGTGCTCTTTTAGGTAAACCTGCAGATTTGTCGGTTGTGGACCATCCTGATTATATTCCATCACAAAATTTAGGATATCAAAATAAATCCACTCAATACTTGTAATGTTGAAAGACACAGTCGTTTAAAAAAGAGAAAACTGAATAAATGGCTCTAGACTTTTGAATGCACGAATTTCATTGTGGGTTATTTTAATTATTCCAAAAATAAAAAAGTTTAGAATGGTATTCATTGTTATGGTAGGGACATCGTCTAAACACAAATTAAAATCACTTGCACTCATTATATAAGGATCTACGCCGTTTAAATTGTTTAACTTTTGTACATATCTGCTTTTCTCTTTGACGGAAAGACATCGTGCATAATCACTTAAATTATCCATACTTTAAAAACAAATTACACACCTTCACTTAAACCCGTCACATTAACCTCAAACGAAAATATTAATTTCCGATTTACCGCTTAAAACACACGGATGTATTTTGGGCGACGAGGAATTCAGACCAAAACAGCGTTCTGTATTTTTATTTTTATTATGTATTTTTAAACTCAAATCGCCAAAAAAAAGCACCCTGATACACAGAAAAGATATGAAAGAAGCTATTCACGTGTTTATTTTCTAGATAAATACCCACACTTTTAAATAAAATGCGAAAATGTTAACATTGTCGCTTATGGAGTTTCACGCCGCTTGTCAAACGCTGAGTTCCCGCCACAGCGTGACGTCACGTGTTATTGGCTAATTGAGGATTATGTTTGAAAGAATCGTATTACATCAGGTTTCAAAATGAAAAGTGTTTATTGAATTTTTTGAAATCATACAAAATTAATAAAACAAAACTTCATTTTTCATTGAAAAAGGTCTTTTTTTTCGAACGATTGGCATTCCTATTGTAGCCAGATCTCGCAGTATCCCTCTGAAGACACCAACAGAAGTCTGCAAGCATGGGTGGATACATAAAAGCGATATTTTTACGGTTAACTGCAATCAAGTGTCCCAAAAAGTAAGAAAAACAAAACACCCGTTATCTATGTTTTGTGATGTGATATGAGTATAAAACATTTTTTTCTTTAGTAGGTATATGGAGTATACCCAACCTCAAACACTAGCTGAACTTTCTGTGAATTTTTGCACAGATTCTAATAACTCTATAACCCGTTGAAAAATCAGAGACCAGATGTAATTGGCAAACTCAACTACTGGCCTGACATAACTCTTATAGAGCTTGCTAATGATAGATATATGACTTCTCGCAAATGCTTTTCCCAACAAATACACCATTTTGTTCGCCTTTCTAGTAGTATTCAGGACATGTTCGGACCAAGAAAGAGTGGACGTGACAAGTACCCCTAAGTCGACATGGAAATCAGATTTACACATATCTACACCGTCTATCAAATAGGTATGTTGGGGATTGGCGTTCCCAATGTAAAGAACTCTACAATTTGCAATATTAAGTGGAAGTAAGAAGTACCCATTTCGAGCTCCATTTGCACACTTCCAGAAGATCTTGAATTAATGCCATCCAGCTATTACTTAAGTTATACAATTTAATATCATCTGCGTATATGGCAAATGAGGGCCTCAACTTAAATTTCAAATCGACTGTATAAACTATAAACAGTAGCGACCCAAGAACGGAGCCCTGCGGCACACCACTTAAAACCTGTACGCACCACCGACCCTCACTCTGAACAAGTGTTAAAGTTTCAAAAGAGCAATAAACAACATTTAAATTCGCCATACAATCTTGTGAAATTTTAAACAACAAATAAATCTTATGTGAGATTAAAAATTGACATCAAATAATTTATACAAAAGATCTGGTGTGAAATAAACTTGTGCAAATAACAATATTATGTGAGGTTAATAAAACTGCAGAGCATGAAATTTACGTTCAATGAAAATTATACAACAAAGAAAATTACTGAAGTTAAAACTGTGAGATTGAGAAATATTGTACGAGGTGAAAAATTGCAAAGTTAACAAAACTCACATGAGATTAATATTTGCCACACTTTATCAACGATTCAAACAAAGAGTTTACATTATGTCAAATTATATCATGGTCTGTGCATGAGATTAATATTTGCCACACTTTATCAACGATTCAAACAAAGAGTTTACATTATGTCAAATTATATCATGATCTAAGTGATTGGTTACTTCAAAAAAACAATTTACTTTGAAAGTTTAAAATACCGCGAATTGGTTACCCCAACAAAACACATAATAAACAGACACAAAAATATCCAATCATCGTTGCGAGGGAAAAAGCGTCTCGGTGATGTAAATTTTAAATCGTTGCGAGGAAAAAGCGTCTCGGTGATGTAATTTTTTTTAGAGGTGGGAGGAATAAACCTCGTTGATGTTATTGATCTCTAACGTTGCGAGAACATGCCTCGATGATGTGATCAATCTGTAGCGTTGTGAGGACAAGCCTCGATGAAGTAATCAATCTGTAGCGTTGCGAGAACAAGCCTCGATGGAATAATCAATCTGTAGCGTTGTGAGGACATACCCCAGTAATGTAGTCACGATAACGACGATAATAACCACCTAAGGGAACAAATTATTTTAAAGCCCCCGCCAGTTTGCAGTATAATGAACTTTGTTTAACTGCCGTACATGAACTATTAGAAATCTTGTGTGAAGAATTAAGAAGTGTTATAATCAACGAGCGGAATTGTATCTCATACGCTAGATCCAGTGCTGTCGTGGCGATAGTTTGATTACAAATATATTTTTCTTTTGGACTATATCAACATTGTCTAACTACCAACCGTTTATCTCTCCCAAGCCGCCCTCAACTAAGACGTGGGGCTTGGGCAGTACATGCATATTTAGTTGCCTATGTTTAACGATTTTTGATTGAATTTTTTCTTTCAAATGCAAATTATTCAAATGTGATTTCGCGCCGTTGTTAAATAATTTCAGCGCGTAAATTTTGATTTAAATTCGGTCACCACACTATTTAAACTTTGCGGTTTTGTCATTGCCCAAATAGATGTTGAAATTGAGAATTCATGGGAAACCCGCGTTGGCGTGGAACGCGCTACTTGATAATAGCTGGCTAGTTTGTAAAGACTGGGTATGAGGCAGGTTTTTTTTTAGGTGTAGAAATGTGTCTATAGAGTAGAATCACCGAGGAAGGGTGACAATCCATGACGAGGAATTTAAATTCTCACTTGCTGAGCCATAATTTAAATTTGCCACCACACTATCGTAATACCTTAACTTGCATATTTACATCCAGTTACTTTAATTCAGAGTTCTCTTTCACCTGTTTTTTTTTTTTAAATTTGTGACATTCAGATATCCTACATTGATTCGTAACATTTAACTTCATTGTTGGGGTTGGAGAGAATTTTTCATTTGGGGAATAAATCCTACTTAAAAGTCGGTTTATTTCGCGATTGTTTTTACCTCTCCGAAATGGAGGAATAAACGATTTCTGACCTCCACATCTTGTGTTTGATTTAGAGACGCTTTTTCAAGCTTGGGGTTCAGCACTTTATTCATACATGTTAAATTATGGCGGGATATACCGTGTAAATTTGGGGCGTTACAATATTTGCATTGATCTGCAACACTTGGTTCTTGAAAGTTGGACAGGTTTTTGCACCTGGAAAAATAAGTCCTTTCAGACTTATTTTACATCTTTTCCCTCCCCAGGAAAGAATAAAAAAAATAAAAGATAAATGTCCTCCATATTTTGCATTTTGATTTCAGGTCACGTTTTCAACCTTAAAGTGCGCCACTTTGCATTTGAACGCATTCCGCCATTATCAAAATACAACGTAGAGTTCTAGTTTGTTGTTTAAAATTTGGTGCACATGTCTCATTTAAAGGGGATATTTGGGTTTCACAACTCTATCCACATTTTCATACTCACTGATTTCTGAATTTTGACACTGAGGAAACTAAATACATATAACAGTTTTTGTTGGACATTCCTTGAATTTTAAATACCACATCTATCTAGTTTTCGTAGGAATTTTAAGACAATTTGCAATGCATAACAACTTCTGTTCACAGTCACAAAGGAATTCTTCTCTTTTTTTTTTTTTTTGAAAAGAGTACCTACCTACCCGTCATACACACTTTAAAATCAAACCCTTTTTAGCACCTTCAAAGTTTGTTCCAGATACCGTGAACTCATTTTACATAAACTTTTATAATTCAAATGTCTAACTCGACGATAGGACATTGCAAATTGCGTTATTCGTTTTAGTAACACAGTCACGAAACGTGTAAATCTCTGATACGATCTGTTATCACAGCCGACAATACTAAGTAAATTGTTTGGTTAAGTTAATAGCATATACAAGTAACTTGACGAAAGGCTACATGTATACGACAATGTCAAGGAATTTACGTGTATAATTACATCTATAACATCAATTAAGATTTGTTTGTTTTTTTATTAATATATTTCTTTTAATTTTAACTAAATATTTTTTTTAACACTACATGTAGGTATGTAGCTTTTTAATTATGAAAAATTGATCGATAAATAGTGTCTCGCCTGGCCTTTTTAATATTTGTCCACTATTTAGAATTAATAACATCGCCACCGTCACTGACCGGAAATTCTAACGCACCGCCATCAACATAATTATATCCATCAACCACTCTTGATTAAAACAACTTTCATTTGCAGTTTTCAGGTGTTGTAATTCTGCTTGAACGCACTTTGGAATTTTTCTTGGAAAACTGCAATGTCAACACAGTTAAGACACAGTAATAAACAGTTAATTACAGAGGCCTATAGTAAGTTTAGTACCGTTTGAACCCATAAACTATGGAGTTTATTAAATATTTAATGACTTTTGTTACAATATTAACATGTGACAATTAGGGGAAAAATCATAGATATGATTAATATCAACAACATGACGATGCGAGAAATTGGTACACTGTAAATAATTTATTGCTTCTACATATAAGTTCCAACAGTAATTATTATTATTAATACCTAAAACTTCTAAATAAAGACGTCATGAGTAGTCCCGTTATAAAATTTATGTGAAGAAAGAATTGTTAATTAAATATAGGTCTATTTTCCCCCTTCTAGAAGTAAGTGTTTGTTATTTAAACCAATCCACTGCCCAATAATATTCCCAAAAGTTTTTACCAGGGAACTACACAATGTTATATAGAAACCACCAAGAGCCATAATAAAATTTTTTAGTAACTGTCAGCTAATTCATTTTCAATAATTTCTTTTCAAGTCACGTTATCAACCATACATACTCATCAAGTCCTTGACGGAATCCGCTGATTTTAACAGTTAAAAAATTGTACGAAATATTTATATACTTGAAAGATATGCTTCTAAAATGATAACCCGATAGCGACCATTTCCAAAGGTACTTAAATTTACTTAATTAAATAATTTTAACCCACTTTCGCAAAAATTGAAAATGAGTGGTCCAAGAACAGCAATGTGGGACTATTTACAACATCAGTTTAAATTTTTCCCACAATTAAAACAAAATATACTATCTCCTAAATGTCACTACTTATGGAAAGAAAACGCTAGGTTGCTTTTCATATTTAACAATCATTTCTAAGCGTAGAAGCGTAAGATTCCATTTGTCTGGTGCAATTTTTAAAAACATATTACATTTGATAAGATATGCGTATTCGTAACACGATTTCTAGAAAAATAACACTATTATTATTTGGTCTTTACAACGCCGCCTTATATAACAGCATATTTTACCTACTTCATTTACTAAAAAATAAAAATATTTCTTAGCAGACTTTCTTTAACAAAAATAAATTCGAAAAATATGTCTTAAAAAAATATAAACCCTTTTCAGAATTTTGAAACTACAATGGCAAGAATAAGCAACCTGATCCCTAAACATCTACTGCAACTCTACGTAGATACTTTTTCTTTAATGCGAATTAGGCCGCCCCTACTACTGTTCCAGTAGATATTCTCAATGCTTTTAGTACTCTACAATCCTGAAATATAGAAACTTCAATTAAAAATCTTGTCTACGTTTGTTGCAAAAGAACTCCATTGCATTACATTAAAAAAAAATAGTAACATTAAGAACCTGATTTCTCGTCACGCAAATTCACTACCCTGTCAAGTCTTAACAAAAAACACACAAAATTATAACTTCAGCGCTGAATGGAAAATAATATATATATTGAAATAAAACAAAACTAGAAAAAAGTGTGAATGCAAGAAGCAAATTGTTATAATGTTGAACCAATGTCCAGTTTGTCACAGTCATAAAAAAATAAACTAAAACTGTATCACATTAATTTTAACAATAAAAAGTTCTCTGTATATTTAAAAATATAACAATAATTATTACAAATTAATTACTGTTGTCATCTAGTAATTAAATGTACGGCCACTGGATATAAATTTTCATACATTTTTAAAAGATCTACAACTACAAGTAAGTACGCACTTTTTTGTACTTTATACGCACAAATTTAATATCGTCCTACTTATATTTAAAATTCAATCTAATTTTCAACATAACGAACGTAAAAAACTATAAAACGACTTCTAAATATTTCTACACTAAAACAAAACACAAGAAATGAAACATAAGTACTAGGCCAGGCACAATAATTAATTATAAATTAATTAACAAGCTATTACGAAACTGATCTTTAATCTAATAAAATTTCGAAATGAACAGATCCTTCTCTCTGGAGGTCACCCCCTTGGTAAATTATATTCTTGGCCCAAGCTCTGCATTCGATGCTTACAATTAAGTTCGCTGAAAATAAAAAATAAAATATTAACGAAAGCTGATTATAAATAAGTAAAATGGTACCTATATCATAATTTCTGAGAAACTAGTAAAGCAAATTTCGTTCTAAAATTGATATACATGTTGATTTCCAATTGGTATTTAAATATAAACGTTTACGCTACACTAAAATACCTAACCGCAATTTCCGCCTGCATACAGTGAAATGAGTTATGAAGTTATGATCCATGTTAATATCAAATTATTTGTACTGAGTTTTAATCGAATTAATTTAATTGGATTATAAACTCTTGCTGAATAAATACTCAATCTCACTTAATAAAAACTGTTCATATATGGCACGTTAAAAACAATGTGTAAGACACCTTTTTTCAAAATTGTTTTATTAATATAAAATTCTGCATACAAAAAAAAAAAAAAAAAACTCAGACAACCTTTAGGAACCACCTAATTTTTCATAGATTGCGGGTATACTAGATGGTTTTGATATTCTATATCTAATAAGACTATGATTAATAACACAATCATTCTTTACTGGATAACATCCAGGTGTTACAAATTTCACCAGGCGATACATTTTCCACAATGCCAAATTAACATTTACAACTTCCAAATCAACTAATTTGTGAAACACATGCTACTTATTCAAAGGAAAAAATTACTTACTTATAATTTTAATTTTCTTTCATGCAGATTATGGTATGTAGTTACGCAACTATATCTGTTTTACTATTTCTAAAAATAAAACGCAAAGTGTACTTACGTGTTGGATTTACTATCTGCACAGCCACAAGAGGACTTAGATAATTCTGCGTATTAGTATAGGGAAAATAGTATGATGCGAAACCTTGTTTTGGAAAATAATTGAATCCACCAACATTTTCTCTGTCGACGGGTTTTTCTCCTTGACAACTAATCCAAATATAACTACCAGGTTCCTAAAATATTTGTTCTTTGAATAAGTAGGTACACATTATTGACAAAATCTTACCGCATCAACTGCGTCTGCAAATTCGGTACTGTATTCACGCATTTCCGACGTAGAATTCGTAAAGTATTTTGGCTCCCAGCCGAATATCTAGAAACATTATTGTATACAATATTTATCAAAGTAAATAATTTACTTACTTTATTTAGTTTCAAAAAAATACACGGTGACGTACTATTATATCCATAAAACTTGCTTCTTGAGCAATCAAGAAAGTCTTTTAAATTAACTACACACACTTTACTAGCGTTTGCAGGTTTATTGAAGTCACAGATTTCAAAATTCTTTCCATTCTGTTCTTGCATATATGCTAAAAACAATCTCACAATAAATTATCATCAACTAGTGATATCGCTGACTTACGTGTTAAAAATTCGTCAATAAGTTCCACCCATTTGTGTTTACTTGTGTCATTCTTGTGATTATACCAAATCAGCGACCCTTCTTCTGTTTTATTTGATATTGGTCTAAATCCTAAACCTGGATTTGTACCTATTAAACTTCGCTCCAATTTCCATTTCGGTTCTCTGTCATCTAAAGTTGCCAAAAGTCCTTGCATGCATATTGCAAATAATGCTGCCAGAATTATGTAGAATATTGAATAAAATAGCAAAAGCTGTCCTGCAACAAAATAAGAAATATAAAGATTAATATTTCTTACATCGTTTAAATAATTTGATTTGACCCAAATTCAAGGTTTAACTTTTTGGAATTTCTGTAGAATATGTATCTATATTTAACGACGATCCGTGGGATTGAATCTTAAATTAGATATAGGTTTCCTCTGTGCAAAGTAGTCTATTAATAATCTTATAGGAGCAATGGAAAGCCAAACATTGTTAAAGATTCTAAAATTCAAAATCAGACTGGAAAACATATAATAAAAGCACACTATTACCGTATGAAATAATTAAAGTTTTCATAAGATTATATTGTATATCAATGATTGTTCCCTAAACAATAAAAGTTAAGATATTATGATACAATCATATAACTTTATAGTATAAACAATACGATATGGCCAATTCAAAAATTTTATAACCACACCTTTTAATCTTTTTAGCTCATCTTTCATAGTATGTACATTACCTATAAATAATATACTCGTAACTGATTGATGTGAGTGCATTAATTTTGATATGTGCAGTATAAAACTAATACATAAACATATTATTACTGGCTTAAGCAAGATTGCACCTAAGAACTATTTTTCAAAATAAGTTTTTTTTTAAATGACGTGGTCACTTTTCTAGAGATTGATAAATGATGAAATTATTATTAATATGTACATGAAAAAATTACTTCTTTAAATCTATGTTATTTAACAGTATTTCGAAGAAATCCATTATATACCTAATTTCTGAAAGAATACAAACTGAAGAGGCGCATTCCACTGTATCCGATGGATATAACATGGAGGTGGCTCAATTCGAAAGAGCTAACATAAAACTTGGTATGGATCATTGCAACGTCATCGATTTTTCGGAGCAGATCAAGGAATTATATGTATAGTGCGGGTTCTGATCACTTTTGGCGGGAAACTCTGAATTCGTGTGCAAGCGTGACTTCTCGTACGTTTTGCGCAGACTCGAAGTTGAGCCGGAGGTCAGATATCCACATCATTTTAAATTTTTCCGCTAAAAAGTGAAGCAGAACCCGCACTATATAACGAATGACAAATTTGGATTAGTCTTTTCTTATCTAAAATTTTAGAGTAATCGGTGAACCGACAAAAGAGCAGAGTAAACCACTTTAAAGTGGTTTTTATGACAAGATAATAAACATTATCACCTCATTATTACCCTACGACATACAATATGAGTTGAACAAAGTACGACCCTGCAAAAAACCGACCACTTTCTTATTTATGGCTAGGGATTTACTCCATTGTCCCTATCATCAATGGACCTATCATAAAAACTACTTTAAACTGGGAACACTTTACAAAAGAACTGAAAGTTTGTACTTTCGTGCTATATAAGCGGTGAACACCATACAAACATGCATTGGAGATTGGTCTTCAGTATTATTTTCACTTGGCACGATTTGAAAGTATTTAAAAATAAAAACATCGGATTTTATTTCCACTTAAAAAGCTAATGATTACTAATAATTGGTGTCTACAATAATTTGTTTGTTGTTCAGTTTAAAGAAGTGCCCACAGATCAAGTTCTTTAAAAAGTGTGAAGTAATCGGTTGTGTTTGTATAATATAGAGCGATTTTGTTCCCCATTCAGTAGTTGTGGTTAGTTGAGCTACTGATATGCGGTAATAGCTAAGTTTACGAAAAGTTAAATACTTAGTATACAAAAACAGAGTTAAAGATGTTAATATCACAGAGTTTTTTTGTAATGTTTTGCTTTGAAATTTTAATTTAACGGTGTCAAATTATGTCTATCTCAATATACAGTCAGGGCCAGAAAATCTTGGACGTCATTTTTCTGTCATTTTGAAAATGTTGATGTAGTCTATGCCTTACTGTCACTTTGATGTTTGAAGTTTAAAAGATTTGTCACGTGCTATCCAGTGTCAACCTGCTCGCAGTGTCAAAAATTACAGAACTAAAAAATAAAGTTACAATATTTTAAGGCGATTACATATTATGGTACAGTTGATTACTTTGAAATAATAAATCAATAATTACATAAACTGGTAGCAGGGACCGACAGTGTGTTGACGCCAACTACAACTATTTTTGTATACTCCTCAACTTATGATCAAATTTGACTTTTACAGCATACTTCCAATTAACAACAGAGTAAAATATTATACAAATATAATGTTATGGAATCAATAAAAAACAGCTCGAAAATGACACAGGAAACAAATTATAAACATGTTTTTTTTTTATTTTGCCAATTTTATTTTTTTATGATAACCCCTATAAGTTTAAATAGTATGTGCAAACTGTCAAAGTACATGTAAAGAAGTATAAAATTTATTTGTGATTGTGATGATGTCATCAACTTTTTAATATAATCAGTTTTGATACATGTATGAACAATGAAACACTAATAAGAACAGTATATTGTATATCCAGAATTTACGGAAATTGTAAACCACTTTTTATTTATTAGTCAATAAAATAAACTGCTTCATTGACTATTTTTATTGCGACATTCTCAATAGACAAATCTAAAAAATATGTAGTTATATACAGTCATACACGAATAAAAGAAACATGTCATAACATAAATTTCAAGTGGGATTTACTTACGAAGGTGAATTCTGATTACTGATTTACTACGTTCGTGATAATCATTACGATGTGCAAAATTTCAGGGTAATCGGTTTCTTAGTTTCTAAATTAAATTGTAAAATGTTATATAATTTAGACTGTTAAAAAAAACTACACATACATATAGAAGCTTATGATTTTACATAGGATTTTTTTTTCAAAAATTTTGAAATAACGTCATCAGATCTTTGGGATGATCAGATAAATGTTGATTTACGTTTTGCCCTCTATCCGATATTCTAAAATTACTTCCAAAATTTCAAACAATAGTAGTTGCGGAGATTATTTTTTAATTAAATCATCACCAGACGACAGACAGACGGAAAAGGGAACCTACAATAACTAGCTATTACACGCACAGTAGAAAAAAAGAGTATTTAACGGTTATACATTGCATATGCGTTTCCACGTAAGCTTTAAATGAATTGTCTGGAAAAGAAATATTTACTTATAGGTAACCTTACGCTAAATTTTGTGTTTATATTATTACTTATTACTGTATTGTCATGTTGAATCTCAGACAACGTGGAAAAAAACAGGGTTTCAATTTTTAGTTAAACAGTTTCCTTTTAATAACCTTTCATGTTCAATACTGTTTTAATTAACACCAGAATACATTTTAGAGACTAGTTCTGCATTGCTCTAGCCATAGTTTTTAAATGTGGATATTAATCACCCAGCCCTACTTGGTGATATATTAACTAAGTGGTAGCCTCAGTAAGCAATTATTTTAAAAATGACGGAACCTCGCCCTGCTGTGGTAATCGCACACACATGCTGAATATTACGACCCAATTCTATAAATAACATTAGCATATTATTACAGTATAAACATCTCTAGTATTGAAGATTCATAATTTAGGAGTAACAATCACTATTTACTTAAAAATTTCAGTTACAGTGAAAATTTATTTATGTTATTTATTTATCAAAAACATTACAAAAAAAGCCTCAAGCACTTTATAAAAAATGTACTTATTTTTATGGAACATATGTAGGTCAGGTCTTGTTTTTCTCCTCTTTATCTCCTTTAACTATTTACAACGGCTGACATAAACAGATCAATTCTTTGTCTTCTTGTCAAAAACGAAATTGTTATTGAAATTTTAATTTGTATGAAAACATGTGTTTACTAAACAATTATTTGAGGTACATGCAAGGTAATAAAAAGCAGTATCTAATTAACTCATGTTGGGTAAAATCTATCGATCCACCATTAGTTTCATTGCTAAATAAAGTAAATAAACGTGTCGGCGATAAACATTATGACATTATATCGAATTAGATCAGAAGACAGCGAGGGATCTCCCGAACACATTTTACCCCAAGCTAAAAATACGGGGTTCGACGTAAGCAGGTATTAATAAATCGGTTTGCACTAGTTTCATTCGGAACTTTCCCGTCAGTCTGTAAACCTTTTCTGTTTTACGTATCCAATCGAATCTTCCACGGCTAATACTGGATAAGACTAGCACCATTAAAATTACCTGTAACACTACGCATAACTGAATACGTTAAAATAAATTAAGACTACAAACACATCTGTGAGGTACTGAGGTCTAAGCCAATGGTAACATTAAATTTGCCATGTTAAAAAATTCATTAGAACAAGTAAGACGCATTCTTCTAAACAAATACAACTTTTTTTTTTATAAAATTTCTGTTTTAACAGTTTATGGTTAATCTGAACATAGGTGCAGGTAGAGATGTTTACACAGAAAATACATAGAATTAATAACAATACGTACAGAAGGGAAATAAAAAATTAAAATAATTATACATATTTGAAAGTGCACTAAATGTTCGTGTTTTATTAAATAAATGCGTCCAAACTATTTCCAACAGAACATAATGCATTAATTTTATTACATTTACATATTTGTGTTAAATATGAGTTTCCGTGTCCGGTAAAAAATTAACATTACTTAAATTATTCTTTATTGGAACTTCCCTTTTAACGCAGCACGAAAATATTACTGACCGTGTATTAATTTTATGAATTAATAAAAATACTTTGCGTATGAAAGTTCGTTTATTTATCTAGTCAAAAAACGACAAAAAGTTTCCTCGCTAAATAATACAAAGATTCATTACAAAGTTTTTACGATAGCGTGGGTGTTAAATCATTAAACAGAAACTATATTTAAAGGCATTAAATTTGGTAGACAGCGTAAATGTTTTCTTGTTTAATTTTCAATTTTCGGAGAACAAAGTATATCTTTGTGATTGTGGTTTTGTGTTCCATTACAGGGTTTCTAGGGGTTCTAATCAGTAAAATGTGTTGCAACACGATACTGTAATCTGATGAACAATAGGTACCTGGGATAAAATTATGACTTTGTTTGAAAAATATCCAGAAAGTTGTTATACATGCCATTTTGAATTATTATTGGCGTATAATTTGAAGAAACTAAATCACAAGAGTTTTTCGGGATAAAAAAAATCTAAACATTTAATATGCATAAATATTTCAGAATCTTCACAGCATCTTCCGTCTCCTTTACCTCTCTAGTCAGGCCGACCAACCGGTTACTTTATCTTGGTCACTTTGTGCCCTTTATTGATGTTGGTAATGAATAATTTAAAAACGGAAATATTTATTAAGTAAGAAAAGAGGCGAGGTTGTTGACAGTCCGTTGAAGCTTGAAGTAAAGACCTTTTTGGTTATAAAACAATAATCCTTTTGAAATTCAGTAGATAAAAATTAGATTCTCAATTCACAACCACAAACTACAATAGAAAAAACACTGTACCTACGTCAAGTACTGTAAATACATCAAAATTGTTTGGTTGGACGACGAAATTTAATAACATATTCGCACTGTGAGTCATCATGTCTTAATTACAAATAATCAAATTGCTTAAATGGTTCTATTGTAATCTAACAAGATTAAGAAGTGTTTACTACGCCAATTAAAATCCTCAGATTTACTTTCTTTATGCGCTCATATATTAACAACTCTTTTCGTATTACCTTGTTACGGTTAACTTGTTTACAAATGAATCACTAAAGAAAAACTAAGAAATAAATGAGCCATCCCCTTTCGTGAAAGTGTTATCTTCTTTACATATACGGTTTTGAATAAAAAACAAGCTACCTATGTAAAATTCTTCTAAATTGTATTACCTTTCCTCATTTACGCAAATTCATATCCTGTGTCACTTTCAAAATCCTCGAGTAATGAAATAAATAATAGGGGTATATAATTTAGGTGTAAGACTGATTAGATTTTTTACTTTAACATCCTCGACCAACGCTTATTTTATACCAAAATTATAAACACTTCTTTTTTAAGAGCTGAAAATAAATTTCAACAATCGTGAATTTGAAAATCTAGAAATCAAAAAGTTCGTTTTGTTCTCGTTGCGGGGGAACCAAAGTAAATATTAAATTTATTTAACAACAAACGCCTATCTTTTATCGTAACACAATGTCCTTCATTGTTATGAAAATTGAGTTTGGTATTTTTCAATATGAAGAAGACACAAATACGTCTATGATTTCTCCGATTGCTTCAAATTTCGCAATAATAACCTTCTAAAAAAAAACAAACTCTTTCAGCTAAGAGGTAATGACGTGAATTTAACTTTGTTTATAGTGATTATTGTCATGCAGTAATTTATAAAACCAACAAAATATAAATTCAATTATCATGCTATACAATTATAATGCGGTCCTGTGCTTGCAAGTTTTAAGCAGAAACTTCCAGTTTTGCTTAGCTCCAAATTTTCAACTTTTAAAATTTGCTGCAATGAATACCAAACATATAAATAGAAAAAACGTCATGGCGTGCACAAGAAAACCTAATAATCTTTTCTGTCAATATCCGTCTACTATTCCTAGATTATCGCACCATAAAGGCCGGTCATTTATTATTATTAGCAATCACTATTAGGAATCAATTTGCGGAAATGGACATTGCAAGAAATTATTATGTAAATGCATTATCGGTAATCATTAACTTTTTAGTTATGATCTGTTTCATATTTTTCGGCAAAAATAACATTATTACGGTGTAATTCTTACAACACAAGAATTCCATAGTGTTAAATGATCTACTATTTTTATTCTTTTAAGTTTCGCCGCGGGCGCTTGTTTTATATGTTGCATCATAAAAAGCCACAACAGCAACTTTGTTCTGCACACAAAAAGTTGCCAAAGTATACTCATAAGCAGCAAACAAATATTCACCTCAAACATTATTTATTTTCAGCAAATGTACAACCGTTCTCAAAAAAAGAATAAAACCTGTTGCTGATAAAAACGTAAATAAAAAAAAAGTTATAAACAAGTTACCCCAGCTCTTTCCAGTTCTTCCAAGAAATTCTTTAGTTGAAGGATTATAGATTGCAGTGTAGAAACTTTCCCATCTAGTTCTTTCTACATGTTTGCGAAATTGGAATCCTTTTACGCCATTTTCATTTTCTTTAGCAGCCATTTATTTATTCTATCCTTGTGAAGTAAATAATTTATGCGGTATTTTGTAATTCGTCTGCCCGTGAACTGGTTGCTGTACACGTACAACACGCTTAATGCACACGGTTATTCACCACAACCTATCACACCGGCGGCCCACAGCAACTAAAAGAGACGAAAACTAAAAGTCTGATAAGTAGACTGGTTGAGTAACTCGAGTTGGCTGCTTTGCTGTATGGTGAAACACTGTTTTAAAATCGCCAATGGATCGCCATCGACAAGCATTTTAGCCGACGCACTCACGTTATAGAGACAAGTATAGTCGCACAACCAAACATTGTCTTCGTCACGTGTTATGACACATTTTTACCAGTATTGTAACTGAAAACGTATATAAGTATCTTATTTATCTACCCATTAACGCGTTATTTGTCCTAATTACAAAATTTTACGCTCTTCTGGCTCCCAGCAGCAACAATTACCTTTAAATGTTACGTCACGTCACACCTGACTTGTAATAATTTTACAGTACGTATACATTACGCAATCGAAATATGAGTCAAGATCTCATGGGTCGTCACTCTCTGGAAACCAAAATTTTGATGTAGCCAAACTGATTTGAGTTTCTTTTCTTTCATTCATTGAACAATATTTACTTTTTGTATACAACTAACAAACAATAGGTTAATATAATTATTATTATATATGTGACTTTTGTTATACGATGAGTGTTCGATAGTTTAGCGTTTTAATCATCTGTTAACTCTATATACCTGACACAATGCTCTTAAAGCAGTTCTAAGGCCTTCAAAAGAAAATTCTTTGTTGTGGTCTGCCAACCACTCCTCCATAGTACTTACTCCTGCTTACTCAACGATAATTTCTTTGTTTCAGATTCAAGTAAAATGAAAGCATCGTCTTGCAAAGAAAGCATAGGTGGGAAATTTTTACATAACATGGTTTCCCCGTTTTCGAAGTATTCCTACAAAATTATTCCGTCAGTGTGTTTCAATTTAGTTAACTGTTGTTTTGCGTCTAGAATATAACGCTGGATCCATGTTTCATCCATAGTTACAATACGATCTAAATTAATGTTCCAACAGTTCTCTACAAATGGCAGCAAGTGACTTCGAAGTTGTCATTTCTGATCACCATTCAGTTCACTTTATTTTTAGGATAATAAGTATAGTGATATAGTCTCAAATATACCCCAATTATATGAGTGAGCCCAATTATATTGGTATCATTTTTTCGGGAGTAAACATAAACCACATCATGGTGTTAATCTTTGACGTCAGTTTTTCCTCTCTCAAATTCGACTAGCGATTTTTATAATAACCCACGATGGACCATGATCCTTCAATGTCCACCATATTCGCATAAATTTTCTTGTCAGGCCACCCCTGCCATTTTGATCAAAACTGACAATATAGAATCGGCTGAACTTTTTATCACCAAAATTATAGGATTTTTTGTCCAACAATATACTCGTTACTATGGTAGGTAAGTATCTTAGGTTTTGCTTGTGAAAAAGCTCCAAGGCTAACTAACTATTTGTCAATACTCCCTCGTATAAAGTGATATACAGAGCTTTCATAAATGATTCTAAAACATTCAAGTGGACACTGATTTATTCCGTTTCTCTCGAAGTATAAGTAACTATAACAGCAACTTCTAACGATCTCCATGACAACAAAAATTCAAATGTGATAATTACTCTGACAAATGTCATACTAACCATTTTAATAAAAACTTTAAAAACGTCTACCATCACTAAGAAGTGGCAAATCTACAAAATCGTCAAGTTTCACGGGTTACTTGATGTAAGAAACATTTATGAAAACCTATAGCTATTTACAAGGAATTAAAAAAAAACATGGAAAGCGGTGCCTAAATATAAAAAAAATTGGTCTAAAGAGTTTAGACAGTACTTCCCTCGCTGTCGGAAACGTGACGACTGCATGCCTATTATGTGTTTTTTTCGCAGTGGATTTCAAAGAATTCGGTTTTGTAGTTCCTGAGTAAATCAATAAAATAAATTTACGCATTCATTAATTTTTTTGAGTCACCCTGTATATGCAAATCCAAAAAAAAAATCAATGGAGTAATAAATCACAAGTACAGACTCATCATATTTTGTACAGTTTAGATAGGATTTATTCGGCAAACTTTCGAGCTGACGTAATCAATTTTTTGGAGGGGATAAGCAAATGTATTTTGACTAAACATTTATTATGCTCTTTATAACCTTAAAACATCTGCAAGATTTCAAAGCATTCGGTTTTGCAGTTCATGATTAAATCAAAAAAATAAATTTACGTATTCATTAATTTTTTTGAGTCACCCTGTATATGCAAATCCAAAAAATATGAATGGAGTGATAAATTACAAGTACAGACTCATCATATTTTGTACAGTTTAGATAGGATTTATTCGGCAAACTTTTGAGCTGACGTCATCAATTTTTTGAAGGGGATAAGCAAATGTATTTTGACTAAACATTTATTATGCTCTTTATAACCTTAAAACATCTTCAAGATTTCAAAGCATTCGGTTTTGTAGTTCCTGAGTAAATCAGTAAAATAAATTTACGCTTTCATTAATTTTTTTGAATCAGCCTGTATATGCAAATCCAAAAAATATGAATGGAGTGATAGATCACAAGTATAGACTGATCATATTTTGTACATTTTAGATATGATTTATTCGACAAACTTTCGAGCTGACGTCATCAAGTTTTTGGAGGGGATAAGCAAATATATTTTGACTAAAGATTTATGATGCTCTTTATAGCCTTAAAACATCTGCAACATTTCAAAGCATTCTGGTTAGCAGATTAAAAATTAAATTTCAAAATGTTGTTTTATAATTTTGATTTTTTTTCCAAAAATCTGGACGTTTCGGGTGAAAAGTCAATTCGGAGTTGTAAACTACATGTGTAGGACTATGTTATTTTATACAATTGAAAACCCATTTACTATGTACAATTTTGAAGTGACGTCATCGCATTAGTGGTGGGGATGATTAGACAAATTTTGGTTAGCGTTTTACCATCTACATGATATTCTTAATATAAGTACAAAATTTCACAACAATCGGTCGAGTACTTTCGGAGATTATCCGTCTAATAAAAATCCGGGACGGCAGACGGACAGACGGACAGACGGACGGACAGACGGACAGACAGACGGAAATGGGAGACCTATTTCTTCGTCTTCTAGGGGTCATGAAAGATCGAGAAAACGTAAAAGTAGAGAGTCGGCCGACGGACTCGATTACAATACTTCCTTTGCTTACGCTCGGGAAGTAAAAAGATTTATTATAACTAAATTTCAAAAACGATTGTTGTCGAGAATTTGTTTAACATGTGATTGAAAAAATGGAAAGTCATTCAAAAGACGTTATTTGTTTTCTGAAAATGTATTATTATTAGCATACTTTAAACCATGAGCTAAACCTAAAAACTGCGTTCTTTTAAAACGACAATCTGAAGGATATGAAGCATTGACACCAAAGGAAATTAACAAATTTATGAAGGAAGCGTCTGATAAAGTTTATCTATTACGTAAGTTAAAGTTATCAGATCGATTAGTGTCTTAAGCGCTACAGTTGTAAACTAGGTATTTCAGGTCGAATTAATCGTGGGAATTATGAATGAATGTATACTGCTCTACTGAACTCTACGAAATGAAAATATAAGGCATGAAAGATCTAAACACAATATTATTGATAACTATTCCTAAATCGAAAACTAAGGTTATAAGAATAGCACTGGATATGCAAAAGGCATCTGGGGGCGATGCCCTACCCTGAGATGCTGCGTCATTTCCTTTTTATTTGTCAAAATTTGTAAGAGTAGGTATAGTGAACCAAGAGCTATAAGGTTATATGGCCATCATAAAATAGTTGACCGCAAATAAATACCCCCTTTGTGTGGTTCGCACTAAGCTTACCGGTTGGCAATAAATCATCTTCTAAACATTTCTTGCTGATATTTAACATGGCCGGCTTTCAAAGCGAGTGGTTATTTCGGAACCCTCAGCGGCTGCAGGTAGTAAAGAAATAGTGGAGTGGTGGATTTTCATACTTAGTGAAAGCCGCCCCTGAACGAAATCACAAGAGCCGGTCGAGCTGCAGTGGACACGTTATTTACGACCCTAAAACCTTTTCTATTGTAAAGAACTTAACTTCGACACAATGGGATGATTTTATGATGGCCATATAACCTTATAACTCTTGGTTCACTATACATGCCCTACACTTTTAGTTTTATTGCCACACAAAGACAGAAATCTGATAAACTAATAGACCATCTGGTTTTGAAACCCTCTGTTTGGCCCAGATTTGCCTGGAACCATCATAAATCTATCCTTTTTAACCGGTACTGAATTATGGGTTGTTTCGTAATTTACTTTTTACAGTTATTACAAGATTTATTTTTATTTGCTTATGCCCAAAAATTCATTGCGTTTTCACTTTTTATCTATGGTGAAGTGACCTGTAAAAACGAACAATTGATGAACCGGCGTTTTATTGACTATAATTTTTATTATTCCTTTATTTCAAAATTCGAGTACTCTTGAATAAATGTCTGCTTAAATTATAAATTTAATATTTTATTTAGACACAGAGAAATATGGATATTCGAAATTTCTTCAAGAGAAAAATTACAAATACTAATGATGATACTTCAGCTAATGAGAAGTATAAAATAAGTGGTGTTATTTATTGGCGGTTTTTCAGAGTAGCCATCAATTTCGAGTGGAAATTTCGGTTGCTCCAGAACTGTTTCACCAGTGGGCGTGCGAACCACAACACAGATAGCATGGAAAATTATTTTAAAATCGGCACTTTTATTCCATACCTGGACCATTTAATTATTTCCTTAACAACACGATTTTCCGAAAAAAAGTGTCATCATACTCATTATTTTCTTTACATTAAAAAATATACGTGAGTTAAAACCAGGTTGCTTTAAAGGGTTGGGCGAATTTTACTTCACTCACAATTTATCAGACGAAATCCAAAATTAGCAGGATTTTGTAAAAATAAAAAACCTTGACAGTAGTATTTGAGAAAAAGAGAGAGAGTTAATGCCGAAGAAACATCTGTTTGAGTAATTGACGATTTTGGCCAAGAAAAAAGGAATTAGCAATTTGTTTTTGATTAATTTTATATTTTGATAACTTTTTAATTTTAATATTTTACACTGTTTTGTTAATAATACGAATAATGTTGTTGTAGGGTTATTTGCGAGTAGATTTGATTAATGCAGTTGATGATTAAAATATATATTTATCTGTAATAGTATAAAGATTTGTATCATTATATTATTTATATATACAAGAACAGAGTATATTACAAAAATTTCAGGGTGCCCCCCCTGAGAAAGGTTTC